AATCAGACAGGAGTCCGAGTGCAATATCGGGTCTCCCTCGGATGCTCTCGGGAAATTCCGATTTTTCCTCTATCCCTCGCTCATGACAGATGTTTAACATGAAAAACAAAGTTCTCAGGTTTAAAGCATGTTCTAAGCTTTAGATATCGGAGCAAGAGGGAGAGTTCCCCAACATTCTGGAGAGCTTTGTGGTTTTCCTTCCGATAAACATGTACTTAACAAGTAGGTAATAAAATCAGACAGGAGTCCGAGTGCAATATCGGGTCTCCCTCGGATGCTCTCGGGAAATTCCGATTTTTCCTCTATCCCTCGCTCATGACAGATGTTTAACATGAAAAACAAAGTTCTTTGGAAAGACAGAAAATCAGCAATAAGGTGTTCGATTGTTCACTCATCACTATTCGGTATACACTAGTTATCGTTACTCGACTGTTATGAATTGTATCCATAAAATAAAGAGCAGATACCCAAAAGCTCGAAAGTGAATCTTTTTTATGATATACGAAACTCATCGGGTTGAGTAAGTGGAAGTATTACTTTGACCTTGGCCACTCGAAATTCAGTAGGACCTTTTACAGTTGGGACTGGAGCCCAGATAATCAGGATTCTAGACTTTCCACTCAAGTTTTTTTCTAATTACCTTGACCATCCTCAGGTTCAAGAGCTATCTAGATCTTTCCGCCATAATGGGCAACTTTATAATTACCAGAAACCAGGTGCTGAAATAAAAGATTAAGAACATATATGGTTAAATAAACAAAAAAAGTCGAAGATCAAAAACAATACGACTTAACTAACGCTACGATACGAATACGCCGCTGGACCAATCACATCCCAGATTACAGCTGGTGGTGAGATAACCCGCTAAGTGAGAAACATATCATATACATATTGAGAGGTTTATAAGCTGGGTGCAGCCATTAACTATATTTCGCCGTCGCTGTGGAAAACTTTCTTCATTGATCTCGTTGCAAACAATTTTCAGTGATAAAAAAAAAAATTATGAGTGGCTTGATGAAACCTAAGCAATATGACTGGAAAGATTCTAATCTTGCCATGTTTGGTAGCGATGAAGAGAAAAAGGTGAGTTTTCTCCCGGGATCAACAAAGTTTTTCTGAAGTTTGAAAAAAGAGAAATCCTCAGTATAGCAAAAAACGAATTTTAACATTAATTTTGTTATTTAGCTAAAGAAATCTGCCGCCATAAAAGAGCCGGCCTGGACCGGATGTGAAAATTTCGAAGGAACAAAAATTTGGAGGATTGAAAAGTTTAAGGTGATGATTTTTTTTCTGCAATTTGCATTGGTATTGTGACAGCTGGCTTCACTTCCAGTTTCAGGTTACGATTTCATGATTATTCGAGCGTGATGCAATACTAACTTGGTTTAAAACGGTAATTGCGTATGAATATTATCCCTAAATTCCAAAGGATATGGTAAATCTTTTATTTATGGTGGTTCCACGGAATCAAAATTTACCAACTATTCTCACTCGGCTGGAGTAATAAAGTAGTTTGGGAGTTTCTCAACATTGCTGGGCTTTGCACCATAAAAGGAAAAGTGTAAAATATTCTCCTTCGTGCAGAGAGACTTCCTATGGCGTCTTTATTTGAAGCCATTGCCAACAGTTTTTTTTTTTTTTTTTCACAAATGTTTATAAGTCACAAAAACAAATTGCCATATTTGGTTGGGATTTCTTGTCGATATAAATCACGTCTCTTCTTGTCGTCATGTTGCAAACTAATTTTCAAGACTTTTAAAAAAAACTTATTTTTGATGAAAACAAGAAAGGAAACTTCGCACGTCTACGGTGAGTGACGAAATGTGCCTCCAGTTAGTCATCGCAAAATCTCACAGCGACCGGTTTAACTTCTGATTAGCGAGAATTTCTCCTCAGTATCTATTGGCAGGTCATCACAAATTATGGTCAGGAGAATCAAAGAGCTGATCACCAAAGAATAGTTGCCCTGATCGTTAACATATTTCGCAATTGTTGTTGGTAAGAAGGATAGTTAAATGTTGCATGTTTAAGGGTTTATATTATTTCTGCGGCCTTACCGACTCTTTTTTTCTCAATGCGCAGGTCAAGGACTGGCCCAAATCTGAATATGGAAATTTTTTCGACGGTGATTCTTACATAATTCTTCACAGTGAAAAGGATCCAGACTCAAACGTTTGTAAATTTATCATATTTAGAAGTTACAAGACTATTTTTTAGCACATGTGCTATTTCTTTGTCGATAAGTGACCCTTCCAACATATTACCATAATCTCAATGATACATGAGTTACGAACTATGATAAACGAAAATCACTGTACAGTAGAGAAATCGTTTGATTACAAATATCATTTGGGCATTAGTTTTTATGAATTTTGTGGATTTGGTAAAAAATCGTAAGCAAACCTGCTAATTTATGCAACATTCGGGTACATTTTGCACCAATTTCTTCCTATTTCTTTAAGGAATTAGACTTTGACGTTCACTTCTGGATTGGCGGTTCCTCCACCCAGGATGAATATGGAACCGCAGCTTATAAAACTGTAGAGCTGGACACATATGTAAGATAATTACTACTGAATAGAAGCTCTTGTCAGCAGATGCCTTTGCTAAATGATGGCTTAAAAGGCAAAAACAGACCAAAAAAATATGGCACTGTTTATACATAGTTGTAATGCATCTTATTTTAAAAAGCCATTTTACAGTTGTGCACTTAGTTGCCAAGCTTTTGTTTTGGAGTGAGCCTGAAGGTGACCGTGTTGTGATAGAGACCACTATTTAATTGGGATGATAACAAAGTAATTTACATTTGAAAAGCAGCAACATTTGTATTGTAACAAGATCACCTTAGCCTCACTCCTGTTCAAAGGCTTGGCAATCAAGCACGCAAGTGTAAAATGGACTATTGCTTGATTAAGTGGCCAATGAGGTCTCTTTCCAGTTGTTCGCTTACAGGAGCTTGACTACAAAGTAAACACAAATTGTAACCCCGATTACGGGAAAGTACAATTAGATGGTATTGGAATGAGAGTTCAAACGGAGTTTATGATGAAGGAGTGTTCGTTAAAAGGGCTTCCAGTGTTTATGTAGTAAGCAAGAACGTGGTGTGCTTTGAATTCCAATTTTGATTGGACATGAAATGATGTTCACTTCCATCCCAAGCACAAATATCATCTTTGATCTCTTTCTTCTTTAGTTGGATGACAAAGCTGTTCAGCACCGTGAAGTTGCTGGACACGAGTCTGAAGAATTTTGTGCATATTTTGGAGGAAAAATCACCATTGAGGAGGGCGGGTAAGTGTAAAGAATAACACTAACAACAAAGTCTCCTGTTGATTTCTTGTTGATTTCCCGTTAGTGTCACTGCCAAACCTTGCGTGGGAAGGTATATCTTAGTTCCACAGATAATTTAAAGTTACCAAAAGAATTTCGAGAATTTCTAGTTATTGTGAAATATCTATGTTCGCTGATGACAATGTGAAAATTTGGCCTAAGTGTATTTCTGGGTCCTATTGACTCAAACTGCTACTACATCAAGTTAACAAACCCCTGTTGGTAATAGCTGTAATTCTTAACTTTAAACAAACGTAATCCTTGAAGCTAAAACGAAGTACCACAAGAAACATTAAGGTGCCGATATAGAGACTTGTCAATTGACTCTACATGAAATCAAACAATAACATTCCAAGAAAATAACAAGCGGAAATAAACTGAACTCAGAAAATTAGGAATAAATAACTCGACTTTCCCGCACTTTGACTGCTAATGGTACGAAAAACAAAAACAAAAAAAACAGGCGAGAAGTCTTAAGAGTTGACATTTCTCGCGAAGACAGAAGATAATCTTTCAGTTATTAGTGAACATGATCTCAAAGGAAAACGTTAAGATATGTGATTATATTTGTCCTTTTACAGAATTGATTCGGGATTTAACCATGTAGTACCCAGCGAGGAAAGACTACCTTTCACAAGGAACCTTTTGAAACATTTTAAGAAAATACCAAACAAAGAAGGGGTAAGTAAGGTTTTGCTATTTGAAGCCACCAAGCTCTTCAATTTACATCTCCTGTTTTTAAGTTCACTGAACCAGTGAATCTTTCATAGTACTTCTTACTTGCGCTCAATAGACAGGTACGCCACTTAGAATAGCCTCGAATGGGGGAATCCTTGTAAAAGCCTCCGCTTGGGTCAAATGTAATCTCTCAATCACGCAGCAATCTGTAATGTCTACAATTATTTCTGAGATGACATTTTTTTGTGTGAAAATATTAGAAGCTGGAGTATCACGCCGTTGATATGCCATACACTCAAAAGAATCTGTGTTGCGATGATGGGTATGCGGTGATCTTCTCAGAGGACAAAATGTATCAGGTAATCTTATAGTTATCTCAAATATAAACATATCCCTCTCTCACAAAGGAACCATTGGTTAATTAGCACTTTCTCATTTAATTTGAACTTTCTGAATACAAGCGGTTTTTTTCAATAAAACAGTTAGAGGGAGAAGTAAACAGATGTGATCTGAAATCCCTTGTTTAGGAAAAATTTACGCTTCTTTCAGTCGAGTTTGAGGGGGGGAGGGGGGTGCTGCTGTCTGTGGGCTTAACGTAATGGACTTCCCATTAATACGCACAGGTGCAATGAGCTCTTAGTTTGAAGGCAAATCTGGTGTTCTTATATTCGATTCTCTTACTATTTTTTTTCTTTTTTAATTTCCCCTCAGGTCAAGGGAAAAAATGCCAAAATTGATTCCATTTGCCCGTTTAATGAGTGGATGTCTATTCAAAAGGTATGAACAAAAAGTTAAAAAAAAAGTGGACCATTCAGTGACTAATCTTCATTTGATTTGGAGGATTCCAGTGATATCTGTTTCACATTTTTCCTTCCTTAGCATGAGCATCCAAGAGCCAAGCTTCAAGTTTATGGTAGGTTTCATTTTTTTCAACTTTCATGTGTCAAGTACATGATTACCTTCCGACATCTATTCCCTTCACAGATAGCGCTTTCCGCACACTAAAACCCAGGTTACATTCGCATACCAGGGGAAGATACATCATCATAATAAATTAAATTTCAACTTGAGTAGAAAGTAATCTATGATTAGTGGGATGGTTGTGAGTCACTTTGCTTTATGATTGATTTAAAACATTCGGCCTCCTTCGACACCAATCAGAAGCGAAGTTAATTATACTTGATTCCTTTTATTTCTATTGGCATTTGAAGTTACTACAGTCAATCAAAATGCGTTTAAAAGCACGCTGCTTGTCAATGTCCAATAGCTCAAACACGACGGTTACTATAAAGACCCTAGCTTAAGTATAGTATCAGTCAAATTGCCATTATTATCATTATTATTATTATTACTATTATTTTACTTTTTGTCTAATCTACAAAAGAAGTCCGTAATGACTCATTCTTTTTTGATCGGCTGAAATATTTTTCCTTCCCTCTTTCAGAGAATCTGGACGAGATTTTTGACACTGAAGTTTACAAGGTGCAAAACGCTTTTATTTTTTATTTTTTTTTTTTTGCCAACTATTTTTTAAGAGTGTCTGCTCTCTAACAAGAACTCATTATTACAATAGTGACTTTTTGTAACTTATTATCATGATAACATTTTTTTCTCCAATCTCAGTTCAAGGTCTCATAATTTAGCTTCATGTTTAGGGTCATTGTTTCATTTCCCCTACAAAAGCGCGCCTGCCTGGGCACTAGCAACGTTCTTTTACAGTTACTAACTCAAAAAGATCATGTTTTCACTAATAAATTGATTGGGAATCATTTGACAAGAACACACCCTTCAAACTTTATTTACAGTTTGACACGCAAACACAGGACTAAAAAGTTTGGAACTGAACTGTCTATAGCTGCCAACCAGCACAGCGTTTCACTTAATTTATTCCACTTCATTCATTTCTTTTTCTATGGAGGAAGTCTAAAACTAACGTTTCTGCCTGTGTTCATTGTCTACTTCGCTTTAGAGCTTTGACATGATCAATCATATTAAATAGAAGACAGTCCTACCCACTTTTTCAAAGATATACCAATAATTAGTTGTAGCAAATTTAATCTACAATTAACGAAAAACTCTGCGTCGATTTTTTTATTACTCACAGGATTTATTTCCCTTTCACGGATCGAAAGTAAATTTTGTAAGACAAGTTTTTTAGTATTATGGATTTTGTTGATTCTGTACCTCTTACCAAGCCGCGTGACTCTACAATGTTTGGGAAGCTCTACACAACGTTGATTTAGTATTTTTCTCCTTTTTCTTTCTAGAATGCTCCAGCCGATTTTGTAGTGAAGCTGATCAGGTTATACTTTTAATAACTTCTAATTGTGCAGATCAAAAAGGAACATTCAGGATTTTGAAAATTAGTTGTAGATGCTTATTAGACCAATGATTTTAGTGAGGGTGGCAAAGGAATAGGGGGGGCTTCCAATCACACATCACGCTGAATTTTTTAACCAATCACACGCGTTACGTAATGCTGCAAGATTTTAGCCTATTGAATGTATCATTTTAAATTATATTGCATCCGACGTTTTTCATTCGGAATGAATTGCGTTTCACTTGTCATGTTGCTTTTGTTAGACAAATTGAGACTCTTCACTTGTTGAAACTAGAGGCTCCGAGGGCGTTTACTCGGGCCGGCTTCGTATCGCAATATCCTCCGTGAGTCTCCGTGGGTTAGGGGAAGAGGATGGCTGACATTCCGATTACCTTTTAGGTCAAATAGCGTTCACTTATCATGGAGATCTAATTAGTAAGACGTGTAATCATGCATCACCCGCTCGTAAAATAGCAAATCACACATCAGGTTGTGATGTACGTCCCCGTTACGCGTCACTCTTGGATAAAACGGAGGAAATAGTAGAATTCTACGAGTTCTTAAATTACAGAGAAAATGGGAATGTACTTTTAGCGGCGATAAGTAGATGAACTGGGTCGAATCTCACATTGAATACAAACACCACGACATAGAGTTAAATGATGTTATTCTTTAATGTGGTCCAACACGTAAAAACTGAAACAAGGATGCAATAACCAAGCTAAAACTTAACCATAGCTTAATCGATTCAAGGCACGTTAAGTGAAATCGCTAGCCGATCCGAATGATAAACATTATGCAAGACGAAATAATTGGATATATCAACAAAGTTGAAATGGTAAATTGGCCACCGTAACGATTACAAAAGCTGACGTTTCGAGCGTTAGCCCTTCGTCGGAGCGAATAGAGGATTGCGGGTTGTGTGTGGTTTTAAAGGCAGAAAATGGAGCTACGTTATTGGTGGGAACATGGCAACGAGAAAAACACGAATAAATTAGTGGAATGAAAAGCGTTCGTTGATCGATTATACAAGAAGAAATAAGTATATCGCGAAATCAGTGAATGTCGACGACTGAACCGATGAATTAAAAGATAAAAGGAATTAAAATGACAAACAACGTTAGAGCGATTACAATAAGTAACATGAAGGGCGTACCTCTATCCCGATCTTGGGGCGAAAACGTGCACGAAAAACCAAACAGAAACGATAAATCTACAAAAACTTTGGGTGCTTTCGTTTTGTAATGGAGCACCGTCGAAATATGAAAACACAAGGTCCGCTCTATGCTTTCTGTGCATGATTTGTGACGCGACCAAAAACTAACTAGGGACCTTAAGCAACCACGACGGCGACAGCAACAAGGACGTGTAAAAACAAGAGATCTAATTGGGAGAACAATAGCTCAGCACGTGAAACGGTTTGTTTGAAACTTGTACATTTCTTAGCCGTCCTATGCAAAACAACAACGTGAAATCGCCAAAATTTGCGTCGTCTGCGAACCGAAACCGCGACGGCAAATTATTTTAATTTCTATTTGGAACTCAACTATACTTTTATACGTCATGCTGAAGTCGAGCTCTGGCGCCGTATGAGACAGTAAGCTCATGCAGCCATTTTTGAAATTCTAACTAAGAGTAGAAATTCATTTTTTAATCGAAGTCTTCTTGGCGTTGCCGTCCTGAGTGCTTAAGGTCCCTAATAACGCAAGGGTAACGCTAAAGTACTCAAGGTGTCAGCCAGTTCAGGACTGTCTATAATCTTGTGTAGTGCTCTGTTTGAATATCACATCTTGCTGATACCAAGACACTATGCATGCAGAAAATTCAAAATATATTTTGCTAGCATTGTCACTATCTTTCCCCTTTCAGAGTCCTCACCGAAAATGGTAAAGTAGAGTTTCGACCTGTGGCCAGGGGCATCGAAAATATGAATGAAGATTTATTGGACAGCGATGACGGTTTGTTGTTTTCTGTGAACCTCTCTTAACAGCATTTATTGCTGTATACATAATCTTGTTTTACAAGGTGTTATTTTTTTATTTACAGTATTCCTGCTTGAGGTACCTGATCGTTTGTTTGTGTGGATTGGGAAAAATGCCAGTTCTCGCGAAAAACAAAATGCTCTATCCTATGCACAAGTAAGTTAGTGAGAGTAAATGGACGAATACATGGATAACATAACCCAAAGGAAACCTATCATGCATTTTTGCCAATAAACAACGGTAGCTTTCCATGTGTTTACCTTGTCTCTTCAGTCGTGAACTAATGCGACTAGTCACATTTTGTCCGGTCATGCTAATACGTAGACTGCTGCAGACCGTGCAGACCGCGCAGACCGTGCAAACCGTGCAGACCGTGCAGACCGTCCAAACCATGCCAGACCGTGCAGACTGTGCAGACCGTACAGACCATGCGACCGTGCAGACTAGATAATTGTATGTAACTTACTAATTAAACCTTCAGTCCGGTATACCTATGATTATGTATATTTTTATTCATCATTGGCGCTGAAAAGCCTTATTTGGAGGAGCTTCCATACAATTTACGTATCTATGTTTCATCTCTATAGCAACGTCCTTTCGAAAAAAAATTTGGGGCGTAAGTGTATAAGCACAGTGCGAATATAGTTTGGCGGGGTGTCCTTAACATTTTCATCTTTCCTCACATATCTATAGAGTAATGATTAAATATCAACCTAAACATCATTTGGAAACCATTTTCGCTACCTTAATAAGAAATTATCTGCTTCGTCCACCCAGCCCAGTGAAGTTCATTAACTTTAAATCAGTGTCTCTGTCCAAACAAAAATACAACTTCAATACAAAGGGAAAAAGTTAACACAAGTATATGAAAAAATTAAAAATCCCTTAAATAAAACCTATCTTAGTCGATCTCCATATTTTGCCGCTTAAGGCTAATGTCCTCAATAAACTTTAGCCTGCGCTTTCGTCCGAATTATTGCTAGGTAATATGAGCTCGAAATAAGCTCGTAAAATTACGTCATGTAGTGTCCAAAAAGTGGAAACTGTTCTCTTCCATGCAAATCAGAGTTAGAAAAAAAAACAAACAAAAAAAGTGTACCATCTTCACGATTTGCACGGTCTGTAGTCTGCGTTTTAACATGACCGCACTTTGTCTTGTATCTCTTTTAAAGTATTCCTTGTGCGGGTTATTCACTCTACAGTAAAATTAATGTCTCTTTCTCCTCTTCGGAAAAAGTTGTCTTCGCATTTTTACTTGAGGACTTGCCACGAATCCCGTGAATACATCAAAACTAAAATTTTATTCCTTTGGTCATTTTTGATGAAAGTTATTTTGGACGTTGGTTAAATGACTCTAGACGGTGGCGAATCGACCTCATGCGTTGGCGAACTGGTCGTTGGCGAACTGACACGTTGGCGCAGCTGAACGACCTGTTTTCCTTGCCAACTACAGCGACTTCATCCGCCATTTTGACGCGCAAAAAACTTTACCTTCCTTCTCCCACTCATTAGTAAATGTGTCACAAGCTTGTCTCACGGGAGATAGACTCGGTCCAGACGCAAAGTGTCTGGTCTCCAAACTTATGACACATTTAAGTACCGTGTTCAGTCCTGAATGTTTTCACAGGAAATGAATATCTACTCGTGGTAGTTGCCTCCATGAGCTGAATTTGCACTCGGACGCATTGGGCTATATCTAGTTCATCGTAGGTTTTCTGATATCGGGAGTGATTTAAATATAAATTGATAGAGCTTATGTTGATGATAGGATCTGTTGATTTGATTCTTCCTTGCACAGAACTATCTGAAAGAACAAGGCCAGGATCCTTGTTGTGGAGTTTCGTGTATGAGAGAAAAGGACGGCAAATACCCTGCACTGTGGAAGAGAACCATTGCTAAACGCAGTTCTGACGAAAAGCGGGGAAAGAGGGGTAAATATTCAAGCAACAAACTAGTTCGGGGGAAAGCTTTTAATGTTGGAGAGGCTTATATTCGCTGAGGAGTAAATTTTCTCGCCCTTATACTATCAAAGTTGATAAACATCGAAAGCGGGAGGAATTAAATCAGCTATAACGATACTAATTTGTAAACTTTGTTAGGGTATCTTAATTTTAAAAAATGTTATTTGTATGCAATGCAGAACCCCAAAATTCTAGGCGGCATTCGGGAAAATAGACCTAACACAGTTTTAAAGATTATGGAACATGGGAGAGGCTTTGATCAGCTTCGTCATTTACCCATGGAATTAAATTTCTTTGCAGGAACAGTTGGCAGACGTGACCAGCATATGTAAGATACATCTTCTGTTGGGGCAGGTCAACCAGTTTCGATAACTTTTCGTAACAATTTGATTGATTCATAACGTTTATAGGGGTGATGAAACTTCACAGCGCATGCCTTGAATAGAGAGAATTTTAAGGATAAGACTAGAAACCTGATTTTATTATGCTTCACGCTTCAATGGTTTATATTTGCCTTTCTGGATTCAGTTCACTTCTGCTTTTTGTAGATTCCAGTTGTCCAGAGGGGAACTTCTCGGAAAACAATAGCTTTTAGCATGTCGCCAAGAATAACAATTTTCTAAGCTTTTTTCCCGATAAGCCATTAAAATAAATGCTGTTATTATTCTTCGTGACTTTGTCTCCTATTCTTCTATTTTGATCAGGAAGTTCTAAACTTCCAACGCTTAACACCCACCCACCCCACCCACCTTATCTTCTTAACGTTGTGCTAACATTCTCCCGAATCGGAACGATCTCATCTTCCCCTCTCGAAGACAAGATTTTATTCAGTCAGCCAATGCGCAGAGGTCTTTTATGGGAACTCAGCAGATCATGACAGATCTCTTAGAAGAACTCTCCTCCCAACCCCTCCCCCCAGCCTGTTTTTCAAAGACAAGTGAGCTGAACTGTTTGTGAAGGAATAAGTATTGGAACAATTGGCATTGCAATCCAAGTGGTTGTTTCCCTGTAATCAGCACCTCCCTTTAAAGCCAGTTGTTAAGTCTTTGGTGTAGGTGTGACCAATCTTTTGGAGTTGTGTTATGTACAAAATACGAAACCTCAGGTCAAAAGTTAAAAACCAGTTGTAACGCATGAATCATGATTGTTTCTAGAATGTTTTTTTTTTTCCCACCTAGGGTGTGACAACTAACTTATTTTCAACATGAAAAAATTTAAAACATTTATATAACCCATCTATAGGTTAAGATCTTAAAAATGCCCCTCATATTTTGCCAATAAAAAAATTGTAAAAATAGCGTTGTGGATTCAGCGCATGCGTTTCCGATCAATGCTTAAAATCTCCTAAGGTTGATGATGACTGAATAGTGAATCAAAAGACGAACTGCAAATTCCATGAAAAATCTAGTAAAAATGAAATCATGAGCCAAATCCAGGGGAAAAAAACCTAAAGAAATATACTGGTTAAAAAAATATAACTACACCTCATTCACACCAAAGCTAAAAACTCGTTTTAAAGCTCTTTTGTTAAATATGGTTTGAAATTGTTTTCTTCATAGAAGTTGCCTAAAATGATATTTGTCGACTTCAAGTCAGCACGAGGAAAAAACAATATAGAGATACTCTAACCTTATGTAAAATTCAGTTGTCAAGTTTTCTGTCACTGATTTCGATTTAGTCAAGCCAAGTGTGATTAACACGTTTTGTTGGTTTCAACGGAGCATTATTGGAAAGTGACCTAAATTTTTTTCCTTCCTCTCAGTAGATTCATTCCGCCTGTCAAAGGAAATGTTCCCCGCACAGATTTTGTCCCTTTACAGCGCCTCAGTGATCCCACTTACAAACCGCTCATAATTTAATATTCATTGCAAACATTTTGGAATCTTCGTTATACATCAGACTCTCTTTCAAGCATTTCCAGTATACACTGTGTTCCACAGACGGCTTCCCCAATCCTGCTAAGAGCCAAGCACGACAAAGAGCGCCTGAGTGCAAAATTACTAGTGTCATATAGCAAACCAGAGTTCCTTTTTTTTCCAGAAGAGTGATAAACTATGTCCAGAAAGTCTTGACTTTTGTCTTCTTTATCTAAGGGATCTTCACAAAGTTCGACACGAACAGCAGGTACCTCTTCATGTGAGTCGTGCGCCATACAGAATGGGATTAAAGACAAGGTGCAAGTGCCTAATGCTATAGCTCCACCAGCGACGAAAAAAGCATTTTGATATGAGCCAGATACTTGGAAAATAAACCCTTGGAAACAAACAGAAACAAAATGTCATCTAATCAGAATGTTCTTAGTAACCTCCCAAAACTGAACTCTAACGTGTCGGGTTTGCAGACCCCTAGAACAGTCGTGGAAAGGGGAGTTTCAACTATTTTGCAAAGAGTTAGGGTGAAATGGTGCAAGAGATTACGCCGAAGAAAACTCCGAAACTTGGCTAAAATGAAAATCGATGCTACTCAAAGTTGCCTTAGGACACTGCACCCCACCCATATAACTTTTCCAATGGTCCACACCCATAAGGATCATGCACAAACCTGCCAACGGCGAACCACATATCATTGGGATGGAAATGACTCCATATAAGCCTCCTAAAGCTTCAGGGAGTTTTCCAGCTCCCACTATATCACTTGTAGTGATAGCAATCAACAAAACGAAGCAACCATCAAATGCTCCAAATCCTACTGCATAAAGAATGAGACCAGTGTAATCTTGTGCAAGAGGACATAAAGTGGTGGTCACCGACATCATAAGGAAACAGAGCTACATGAAAAAAAAAATTATTTTATTCGGATTATTTAAAATTTGGTATTAGCTAGATCAGTTTTCTCAATTTGTTGGAATTCTTGACCGATAATCGATTCTTCCAACAATCAAAGTCATCATCTTAGTCAGTTTTGGTTTTCGTTTTTTAAGAGCACTTTAATAATACCCCGAATACGATCCCTAGAAAGAAGAATAGAACTAGAGGGGGAGGGGGGAGGGAGCGGGGACAAATTCAGCCAGCCAGAGTTGTACTATTTAGTCATATCAGCTAAGTTGACCACCGTAGAAAGCTGACTTTTGCGAGCGTTAGCATTTAGTTGCGGTGGCCAATTTACAATTTCAACTTAGTTGATATAACCAAATTACCTTGTTACCCCCACCGACGCAACACCACAGTTTCTTTAGAAACTTCCACCCTTTGCTATTTAGTGTTGAGTTCATGACCTCGACCCAGACCCCTGGATCTCGTCTGCATTAATCGAAAGTGTGTTGTTGAAGATGAAATAAAAGAGATAAGTGCAAGCCATACCTGTAACACGTAGAAGCGGTTCACTCTAGGATGATTAAGAACAAGACCAAATAGAACTCGTGATACGGTGGAAGCGACAGACAAATAACCGACCAAGAGAGAGGACTGGTAACCATGCACTCCGAGACTCTTAGCGTGATTGGGCTTAAAGAAAGAAACGTCAAATCTTTGTTTAAGTTTTAAGCCCGAGTAGGCTAAATGGAATTCTACTCACTACAAAAAGCTTACAACTACAATTTCTGTTATCAGTAGAATAGTCTGATCGGTTTCAGTTTTCTGTTTTTGTGTTTAACGATTTTAATTTGTACTTGCAAAGAAATGCTTCAGAATCCCTCAGTCTTACTAGCTTTCACTTGAGTGAAACAATTTTTCCGACGATGAAAACCTTCAAATCTCAAAGTGAAGACCTCTGCATGATTTTAGTTACTGTCAAATTGGAATTAAATTCAAGATTTGCTCAGTATTGCAAAGTTGTTGAACTTACCAAATGGATAAACGGTACAAAATAGCCGAGAAACAGGAGAGACATGGAGATCACCCAGAATATGAATGAATTCATTCTCCACACAGAAAAGTCAAACAACTTGGGCTTCTTTTCAGACTGCTTTCGAGCACGTTTATACTTAGCAGGGAGGGGACGGTAAAGTAGAGCGCACACTAACATGACGATGCCTAAGCCAGAGAAAATCCTAAGCATTATTTTCCAGCCCATCGATGATAGGATGATATGGAACAATGGTCCCATCGCTAAGGTACCGACACCACTACCAGCTGTTACTATTCCGTTTGCTACAGGAAGATGCCTTTTGAAATATTGCCCTAGAGAAGCAAATAGAAAATAAAGAAAGCTCTCAGATAAACCAATCTCCGCCCTTCCAATTTCATGATTATTTGGTTTTATCAACTGAGTTTATAAAACAAATTACCCACCGTAAAGAGTTTCTAAGCTGACGTTCGAGCGTTAGCCTTTCATCAGAGCAAATGACCAAGGGCTAATGCTCTAAAAGACTCTCACGATGGCTTATATACATAAACCAACTCAGCTAATTTAATCAAAGTATCTTCTTGTACTCCCCCACCGACGCAACACCACAGTTTCTCTTCGAAACTTACCCCTTGTATTCCGATTTCATTGCCGCTTATGAAAAAGAGCTGTGAAAAGTGATCTCTAACTTACCCAATACAAGCATAGTTGGAGCATAGTTTAGACTTGAGCCAAAGCCCCAAAGAATACTGTAAGTGAGGTAAATGAAGTAGAGGCTGTTAGTGAATGATGTCAGTAGAAGACCAAGGAAAGCGATAAGACCTCCAGCCGCTGCCACCAAACGAATGCCGTATTTTTGACATAAGGTGCTAGTGATTGGACCACAGAGGAAGTTCATTCCAAACGCGATGGAACCAACCCATGCTAAAGAGTAGAGAGTGAAGTGTTATTAGCGTGTGTTGACTGTTTTGTCACAGACTGCACATCTTCACCCTCATCCTTGGTATCGGTCGTTTTCCAAGAAACTGAATTTAACGGGCTCCATGATTGGCACGAACGAAATTGTTTCCTCTGTTTTGTCCAAACTGGCGCACAGTTTTGAAAATAACTGAGTGATTATTCTGGATAGATCGAATCAAAACATGGCTAAGAGCTATAATGGAGAAGTAGTTTGACAACTTGATCATTATGATGCAGTTCAATTTTATCCTTGGTTCAAATTTTATTTTCCTTTGTTTCAAACTCATTATCATACAGATGCAATGAAATATATGAAGTGCATCATATGTATCATTATCATACATTAACATGACCGAGAAGAAAGAAAAATAAAATTTGAACCAAGTATGAAATTGAACCACAACACTTACACAGAACATTTGTCAAAGAAAATTTCGGAAATAAAACATGAAAAAGTCATCGATGATCTGATCTCGCATGACCGGCTTCTTCATCCAAGTCCGATTGTTTTTTCTTTTTTGAATCGAAGAATTCTTTTCAAAAAATCGCTGTATCTTGTTTACATTAAAATGGTAGCTGGATGCTTGACTGGATATTGCCAAAACTGCATGTAACTGATAAGTGAGGTCAGTCACCTAAATGCAAGCATAAGCTTACAAATGTGACTGCAATCGCAAGTATCAGCTTGACTGAAGCTTTTCGACTCAGTCTAGAACATTACGAAATCACCAGTTGCTGCGACATTTTTTTCCCATAAAGATCGTGATTCCCCGATGAATTGAAATGAACCAAAAATACAAAAGAACTTATGGTAAATAACAAATTTTTCCGTTTATACCCAGATTAGCCAAAGAAGAAAGCAGAGGCTGCAAATGTGAGAAATACATCGATCGCGCCACTTGAACGCTTATCTCTATGCTGCGCATAGGGAATTCCAGACAGCACAAGTAAGTTATCAATGTGTAACACTAGTAAGTACCGCTAGAGGTCTCAACTAATTGGTCGCCATGTGTAAGAAAATATTTTTCTTTCATTTCTTCATGTCCTAAATGACAACAATTTTCGACTAAGATTTGAAAATGTTGAAGCTAACCTCTTTTGATATATGTAAATAAAAACGGCTTAATAATTCATTCACACTTCGCGCCCCATGCAAACACTGACCTTTCCGTGAAGAACAAGTTCATTCGTATACGACGCAAATATAGAATTGAAAACAGAATGAATAAAAGAAAAGAGAGCCCTTCGTCTCGAAGGTCCAGAAGGTTTATTTTGTGTGCAATCTTGACCCGGATTTCCTGACAAAATTTCTGAATAACCTAATCGGTTACCTTTAAATCTTAGAAAATGAACATTTTTACCTGCATCTGAAGGTTTAGCATGAAGATCGCCTATTAAAGAGGTGTAGAGAATTCCAAAGTTGTTATGAATGCCCAGAATGATGAACTGAATTACGGCGGCAGCGATACAAATGACCCAACCGTACCCGCCATCAGGACAATCTTCGTCTTCGTCAAGTTCCACTGTCGTGACTTCGTCTGGTTTTGCTTCGGTTTTAACGATCTTGTGCTTCAATTTATCGCACATTTTTTAAGGTTCCCTGTCAGTTCTTGTAGTTAGATGTCACTGTCTCAAACTGCAGACGATTCTTGATATTTCAGCTCCAAATTAAGGTCTAAAAATGAAAACGAAATAGGGGAAATTTTCAGGAAACGCGTGAGTAGGTTGAAATAAAGATTGAATAATTTTGTCGGATTAAGTTGCACGAATTTTGATATCATTGTTTATTGTTTGGTACCAGTTTATTTATAGCAAAGGAAATAGCGCCGTATGTGGTAGAGGGGGGTGGGTAGCAAGATCTGAATTATCATAAGCCTTTCAAAGGAACTCACTGAGCATAAAAAAACATTTCGATAAATAAGAAAGTCCATTCGTCTGACTCAAAGCACGATAGGCCACGATGATTCTTTTTGATACTTAAGTAGGCTTTGGTGAGTTGCTTTATATAGACGGTGAGCTTGTCAGGCACTCTGAAGTGAACATTAAAACATTAACATCTACGGGAGAGTACGAGATGAATTCAAATATAGTTAAAATTTGGTACTTAGAGGTGGCAAATAACAGCAATTCTTTGCTGACTTGGAACTCGGTGTTTATTCAGAATTACCAACTAATTAAAAATTCACCGATTCGGTCACGCGAGATAAATTTCCCTTCAATTTTCTTCGCTTTTTTTATTTCAAGGTCACGGATAACCATGAAAGCTAAGAAAAAGGACAAAGGCAATCTTGTAATTTTTTTAAATGTTAAAGCATTTTTTGATCAAGCTGGCGCTACAACTGAAGGCCGACTGATTTCGTTATGTTGTTCAGCTTTTTTATTAGTAAAGGCACTTATTGTCGAACGAAATATCTATTGTCCACGATAGTGAACAAATTTAGGCGCGAAGCATGCAACAGGAGAGGTTTTCCTATGAAAAGATTGGCCTTTTGTCAAACGATAATGTTAATAAAGCTACTTATACTCCGTCTGTGTGGATAACACTTAATCCTAATCACAAGACTCTTTAAGGGAGCACGTCGTTAGATGGGTTTTAACAAGAGTGCGCCGGCAGTAATAAAGATTATGTTGTCGTCCATTTAAAAGAGTTGAAGTTTGCCGTCTATGTAGACTCCAGCACAGTCAAACTAGTTGCATAGCGGACAAACTTTCATACAACTCTCAAGAATTATACCGTTAAGTGAACATAACAATCATTTAAGTAAAACTGACATGGCTCGAATTCTCGGCACCTACCCGGCGCTCCTCGGCTTCTTAGAAATTCCTGTTATGATATAAGAGGACTAAATGAGACAGGGTAATCTTTTTAACTCCCACAAACTTTCGATGTTGCGCCTTGGACCTTTTTTCCTGACCAAAAAATTCGAAATTGAAATCACCTTTAATCCACCTGCGGGAATTACCAATTTGTCATCTGTGTATCTTAAAATTCAGTGATGCAATCGAACTTTTTTTTATTCCTAGCTGATATTAGTCGGTGTCACGAGAAATTACAATACAATGGTGCCACGCTTTGAATACATCAAGAACAAATGAAGTTCACGTGAAAAATGATGTGTTCTTTGGACTGATAAAAAGTCTTCAATATCAGGCATGTGGAAAATATATTCAGGAACAACAGTATGGCTGAAATTAAAACTGAGCGTACGGCTTCTCTCCGTCTGCGTTAAACTTGGTTTCTTCCTATTTGTTGGGGCGAAGACAGCGAGTTAAGCTGTCCGGTGTTTGTTCTAGCTACTCAGAAGTAATGGTGGGCGTCCCTCACTTGGGTCCCTCCTCGGACCGCTGCTGTTTAACATTTATATAAATGACTTGAATTACGCCATACCAGATTATCTCTGAGGTTATACGCCGACGACACAACTATATATGCCTCTGAGGTCTCTCCCATGGTTCCCTTATTCTGTTATATAAATGTTGGCATAACGACGGTTCCAGGTAGATCTGTTCAGAGATTTTTTTAGTTTTAGGGAAACTATGTACAATCTGAGAGTAACCGGCATTAAGTTTTGCGCACCTAAATTTAATTTAAATTTTATGACAAAATCTCTCACTTATATGTGTGCGCAGCTGTGGAATGGATTACCTACAAGTGTGAAACTGTCGAATAACATCAACCTTTTTAAGAAGCTATTTAGCTGCTTCACCATTTTATACTTGTATATAAGAGACTCCGAATTTCATTATACAAACTTAATTTTAATGTTCATTTTAAGTTATTGCAACTTCTAATCTATCAGGTCTTGACAGTATGTATTAGGTTTCTTAGATTCTTAATCTTAGAGGCACGTACGTATTTGGAACGAGCTCTACGAGCTCGACCTTTGACGCTACGTGGGTAAATAAAGTATTGATAAGAATTCATTTTATTGTAGAACAATCAAAGACTGGAACTCCTTACCAAATAGTGTTTTAGGAATTGATAAATTAATTAATTTTAAAGATGCACTTAGAGGAATTTAACTTTTAACATATGTATATATATATATTTATATATATCATTTATCTTGACATTTTTTAATCTCATTTTGTTAATTATTATTGTTATTTTATGTCTTGCGTGATGGCCCCCCTTTGCAAGACAAATAAATGTAGATGCAGATGATTGATATTGATTGACTGATGCACGTGGGCCGGGCAAGAATTTACGATTTCCGGATTTCTGGGAAAGAAATTAAAGGAAGGTGTCAAACACCTTTTCATCTCCAATTTTGACACACATATATCACCTGATCATGATGTGACATTGTAGAATACTTCCTGCTCGTCAGATTAGCCAATCATGCATCTAGCCAGGAGTGATGGGCTCCTGATCTAGCCCAGAAGGTTATGCTCTGTTTATGATTACACAAATTTTTACCATTTGGTAAATTATTATTATTTCACTTCTCTCCAGTTGTCGGGTGTTCCACTGCATGGTTAACGTTGTTTGTGTCTCAGCAACTTCCCATAGCTCAGAGACACAACACTTTACGCAACAGATGGGCAGTTCCAAGGATGGCCGATAATTGAACACTTCAAAGGAAGTCAGGTACACCTAACTTGCCAAACCAGGCCTTTGATCTTTCGATATGCTTCCGAGAGCACTGATCACGATAGGTATTATTGTGACTTTCGAAGCTCCATGGATCCTTCTGATTTCGTATGCTCGTTCCTGGTACTTTTCCACCTTCTCCTCCTCGGTCCGGGTATTGTTCTGATCCGCTGGCACAGCTATATCAATAAGTGTCCATTTCTGTGTGTCTTTATGAATTAGGGTAATTAATGTCTGGCCGATTATGCCTCAGCACTTTTTCTGTGTAGATAGTCATATCCCAGTTAATCTTCACCTCTCCATTTTCTGCGATTGAAAATGGTTAGTGGTCATACCACTTGTCAGTACACTCTGTTCCATACTTTCTGCACATCTCCCAGTGTACCCGCATGGCCACCTTGTCGTGGCGCTTCCTATACTCTCTCTGGGTAAGCTTCTTGGCCAGAAGAAGCTTATTATTATTATTGTCGCAGAGAAATCAACTGAATGCTACATTCTAATCAAGCAGCACAGGGCGAAAACCGTAACCTGTGAGCCATGGAGTAAAAAATAAATGTACATTAACTAATACTAAAAAGCTTTTCCGTTGTGTCTACGGTCCTCCTTCTAACAGGAACTCAAACTGCCACCTTGAAAGTCCGAGCATTATTCAGCGTGCCCGAGAGCACTACCCTCTGCATCTTTCGCAGTACGTCTGTGCTTCTGCCTCCCACCAGCTCACGCGTCATGACATCCAGCTCCCGTGACCACCCCCCGAGGGCATCCATAATGATGTTATATTGCTTCACCTCGTGGCCTGGGAACTGCTGCCTTAGTTCCCAGCGAAGGGGTCCGTACTTCAGTATCTTCTCTTCATCCTTTCTTGTCCGATTGTTAACCCACGGGCAGCTCATTTCCAGCGTTACAACTCTCTTGCACATATGATTTACAATGCGTGCATCCACCCTATTGCATCTGACCTCTTGTTGATCCGCATATATAGGGACATCCCAATAAGCTTTAACATTCTCTGACTCATACACGGGCTTCGGCTTGTCGGGTGAGTACCAGGGTGGTATCTCGTCGATAAATCCCTCATCATACAACAGTTCGTAAAACAGTACCTTCTGCGTCGTGTCTAGAGAGATACTTGCTCTGGGCCAGCGCACTGCATCCTGACAAGATATGTGCCACACTCTCTGGAGCCTTGCCGCATAATCTGTACCTCACCTCGCCTTCCCCGCTTGTGTGGGACTCGTGTATACTCGCGTTGGCAGTTATTATTATTATTATTATTATTATTATTATTTCCATAAGGTTATTATTATTATTTAAAAAAATATTATTATTATTATTATCTCTTTTATCACAATCTTTGCTGGTGTTCTTTTTGTGCATCAGCCGGGCGCATTATTATTAAAAACGTCTATATGCCATATACAATAAAAGCAACATGAGGCGCCGAAGCGTAGCCCATGAGCTAATCAGTGAATAAAATAGAAGCAAAATCAAACATTCTAACTAAAAACCTAACATCATCGTTATAAAACCTATTAAAACCGATAATATATATATATATATATTAAAGATTGTTCTTCTTTCCAGAGTTCGTCTACGAGTTAAATTACCACTTTAAATGCGCGCGCAATATCTGCAGTTCCTGAGAGACACAACTTCTGCATCTTCTTAAGCACATCTTTAGCTTTGCTGCCTACCAGCTTCTGTAGAGTGACATCCAAGTTCTTGGACCATACCCCGAGTACATCTAAGATGATATTGCACTGGTTGATCTCGTACCCTGGGTATCTCTGCTTCAATTCCCATCTGAGTGGCGCATACTTCATGGTTTTCTCAGAAGTCTTCTTGTCGCGGTTGCTCACCCAGGGGCAGCTCATTTCCAAGGCTATCACTTGCTTATCTCTGTTGTAATGATCCTAGCGTCCACTTTATTTGCTCTGAGCTCTTGGTACTCTCCATATACCGGAACATTCCAATACGCCTGTATACCTCTGCTGTTTCATAGACTGACTGTGGCTTGATAGGTGAATACCACGGGGGTACAGTGTCTATCAAGCCCAATTCAAAGATGATGTCAAAGAACAGGACCTTCAAGAGGGCGTCATGTCTTGCAAGGTACTTGGTTTGTGCGAGCGCTGGCCAGGCAGATAAGATGTGGGCCTTGCCCTCTGCTGCTGTACCACACAGCCTACATGCCGAATCACTACTATCACTCACACGTGTCTTATGAATTGTGTACTGGCCGTGTGGGTAAATAGCTGTTCGTAAAGTTCAAACATGCCCCCGATGGTGTGTGTTGGGCAGGTTCGCCAGTCGCTCAGCCATCAAAAGCACCGCTCAGCACTTAGCTCTTCATCTCTTTCTCTTTCCGTTTCCAACTTTCCATGCTATCTCTGTTCTCTAACCTCCTCCCGTATTCTTGATTCTCGACGTCTCTTGAGAAGATTCTTTACCTTTATCCCATGTATCACCTCTCCCTCCTCTGTGACACAGACTGGATCAGGGTATTCAATTATTACATAACGTTTATTCAGGAAGCTACAACGCAAATATAAAAATATACATACTGAAAAGGGGAAATCGTGAGGTTAGCCCTGTATAATAACAATTTCCCTGACTAAGAACATACAAAAGATAAACTTTAATGGCTACAGATTCAATAAATATTCAATAAATATTCAAATAAATTTTAAGTCTACTCTTAAAAACAGACAATGATTCGGCGTGTACAATGTATCCCGGCAAGCTATTCCATTTCCCCGCAATGCGAATGAAGAAACAATATTTGTAACAGTTACAAACCGCTCTTTTCAGGTGAAGTTTATAGTCGTGGTTAGCTCTTGTACGCTTATTGGCAAACACAAAGAAATCTGGGAAAGAGAGGTGATCAATATCAAAAACTATCTTATAACATTGAACCAGAGATAGAAATTCTCTCCGCTTTTCTAGTGTTTGCCATTTCAGTAAGCTACAACGGTGTTCGTAAGGCCCGGTTCAGACGCCGAACTTTTCATGAGCCAGATAGCTATTAGAGTTCCTGGGAATAAGTTCCAAGATGGTAAGGTCATCAACGTACTTAAGACGAGTACACCATTCACAGACCAGCCTATTCACAAGTATAGCGAAGAGAAGCGGAGCCAAGCGCGTACCTTGTGGAATGCCACCATGAGGCGAGATGGCCGAGGATAGTTGACCATTAATCCTAACACGTTGCAGCCAGCCAACCAAAAAGGCGCCAACCCAACGGACTATGGCTTCATGAACACCAAGCACCTCCAACTCATGTAGCAGAGCCCTGTGGTCGACGAGATCGAACCCCTTACTAAAATCAGTAAACAGAATTCGGCCTGGCGTACATGCCCTCCCTGTCGAGTGATTCGAGGATGACGTGTATGAAGTACACCAGTGCGTGCCGGAGTAGTAGATTTACGAGCAACCGCAAATTGCTTATCGTCAAGCTGATCTTGAACTTGGGAGAGTAAGGACGAGCAGGTAAATCCCTGGAAGATCTTGGCGAGCTGTGAAGTTAGGGTAATTGGGCGCAAATCCTCCTCAACTACCATGGGAGGGCTACATTTAGGAACAGGGCACGCAATTCACTGCTTTAGTTGAGACGGGATAAACCCTTGAATAATCGAGGAATTCTAAATGTCACAGACAACCAAATGAAACATTTTCAATTAGTTTAATAGTTCAATTGTAAAAAGCTCCGAACTATTACAAATTAATACTCTACCTTAAATAATTACTAACCACACATTGGGAGCTATCCAAGCAGCTACCATTAAGACCAGCCGTCTACAGTTAAAATTATTGAGAGATCATCAGTTACTTGACACCTTTTCGCGTTTATTATATATACCTTGAATATATACCTTTGAATATAAACCTTGTTTAGAAGAATCCATCAGTACAAGGTTTATATTCAAAGGTATATATTCAAGGTATTTATAATAAACGCGAAAAGGTGTCGAGTTGCTCGAGTAACTGACGATCTCTCAATTTTAACTGTAGACGGCTGGTCTTAATGGTAGCTGCTTTGATAGCTCCCAATGTGTGGTTGATAATTATCTAAGGTAGAGTATTAACTTGTAATAGTTCGGAGCTTTTTACAATTTAAATTTTAAACTAATTGGAATTATTGCATTTGTTTAATCTTCTGCAATGGTTCCGGCTGGAAAAGCGTGACGGCCTAACATGACAGTCATGGGGGCCCAAGACACCTTACAGGTGTGTAAATGGGTGGAGGCGAATTTAAAACGGGGAGTAACCATGTGATGGACTAGCATCCAATCCAGGGGGAAGGGAGAGTAGAAATATTTTGTGGCTTAGGCTGTATGGGCTACTGGCCTGACGCAGACGTTTTTTTAATTCTAATACGTGCATCTCCATTAGCAGTGCCGGTAAGTGTTTTTTTTTTTTTGGGACCCTCAGAGAAAAAAATCATGTTAAATTATTTGATTAAGTTGTGAACTTACCATTAATTTTTAATCATCAATACTCTTATATATTTATTAATTTACTTTTATTATTTTAAAATTTATTATTTTTCGGTCATTCCGGGAATTCCGGGTATCCAGAGTATTCCAGTTCCGGTTCCGAATTCCGGCATTTTCATTTTCCAATCGGCCAGATATGACCTGCTTCGAGGCAGGACATCGGTTTTTTTTTTTTTACCTTTTGGTCCTTCGGACATAGTTATGTCTGGTCGTGACAAAAGGGTCGCACTTGTCGCAAGCATGCGATGACAGATTTTAAGTCCAATGTAAACACCAAAAGCGTTAGAGCGACCCCTGCCTTAGTAAGGCCATGTTTATACTTGAGCGTGCTATCGAGGTATTGGAGTTAACTTACCTAGGTAAATATTTCTCGTATGTAAACGCCCACTGATACCCTGGTAAACACCGCTGAAGACAATAGAAAGTTAACTGAGGTAAATTTAAAAGTTCGGTTTACCCTGCGAGCAAGCAAGGTAACCAAGGTTTGGATGACAGATAAATCCGCTTGCGGTCGCATAGAATTTCAAATCCTACGGTGTCAGGATTGTGCCAGTCTCATTCGATCGCGTTTTCGAGACCACGTTTTCACGTTTGGTTTCGGTCTACGAAGACGTTATGGCAAAAAACATACGTCATGATATTCTAAAGTTCTCCTTCCACCATTCTTCAGCAGAATTTCCGTTTAATAGAGTTTCGAACCAGAATTTGTTTCTCGGCCACGGTCACGGCCACGGCCACGGCCACGGCCACGACCACGCACGTCTAACGCGCCTTGTCTTGCGAGGGGCAATTTGTAGCAGAATTCATCGCTTTCTCCTCGATCTCTTTAGGTGCTACAGAAGTAAGAGCTGCATACTGCAATCTCGATTCCTGGGTTTGCTGATCAAGGACAGGAAAATAAAACGCGAGGACCACAAGAGCCACAGTTTCTCTGTTAAACGCGAGAATTTTATGTGTGGATTTAGAATTTGCCACCAATTCGATTAGATTGTGATTAATGACAGATTTAGTTATTTGAGCCAGTATAAACACTGTACAAATGTACCAAGGTTTAGTCAGTTAATAGAGACCTTTGTGGTGAGTACGCCATTTTTTAAATTTCGCGTCGTGCACAAAACGTGAGTATGTGTTTGGTTTTGGAGCGGAAATTATTCATTTCTTTCGCCGTTTTCGCTGTTAATTTCTACAATCTGTTGTTAACAGATTGTACAAAATAGATATAGACAAAACAGAGATAGACGATGGATTCCAGTTCCGAGTAAGTAGACTCCACATGTTTTCCTTACAAAGAGAATGGAAAAATTTATCCTGTTGAGCATCAATTTATCATGTCATGTGAGAGGTCGGCTGATGTAAGTAGAGTGTAGTTATATTCAGAAATCAAACTCGCAGTTTCTACAGCGAGCTTAATCAAAAGTTTTCGAGCGCTGCGAACTTTCTATTGAAGTCTCGATACATTTTCCTCCTGTTTGCCATGTATTACCGATTTATTCATGAATTGGTAATTTACTTGTTACTCTTGAGAATAGCTATATCGGAGATGCTTGTTTTCTCGGCTTACCTTTAAAGTGATTTGAGTCTCACGTAATTAAGACTATCATATTTATTATCCATGCAAGTTTCATCCCACTACAAAGAATACTATTTCGAAAGCCTCCATTACATCAATTTTTTTGTACTTTATCAGAGTCCAGCTAAGTTTAGGATTTTAATTATATTTCGTCAGGTAAGCCAAGAATATCAACCAAGAGAGGGATGTCGTATTTTTCGAAGCGAAAATCTGTCTTACACTCTGTCTCACTTTTATCTTGCAATGTAAATCTTTCATAATTCCAATAGAGATACTGTGGATTTTTCGACTCGTTAACATCATACAACAACAGAAATTCATCCTCATTGATGATTTCCTCGCGAAAACTTAAAAGAAGTTTGACCCGCGCTTTCCTGAAGGACGCTATTCTCGACCAGGGGCTGGAAAAGGTTCGCGTCTTGTTTACCTTCTCTTAAGTCTAAATTCCCGTACAAAGAACGGTGTTCTAACCCCAGGCATTTATATGCCGTGAAGTCCCAGAAGAAGACGCCTTCTTCAAATCTTAAGGGCCCAGTTGTTCGAAGGCTGATTAGTGCTAACCCATGTTTAAAATTTAATCCAGGTTTCTATATTTCTCTGTTCAAAAGTGGTTTCGGGATGATTTTCCCATTTTATTAGAGCATTCAATTATCAAATTGTAGACAAATGGAATTAAACTGAAATTTTTTTTTATTTTTTTAAAGCTTTCAGATATGAAATCTAATTTCACACTAATCCTTGGTTATTTTAACCCACCTTTGAACAACCCGGCCAAGGTCCCTAATGTTTACCTTGGTAAAAGCTTGAGTGTAAACACGGGGTAAGGCGTATCCTAAGAAAGGATAGTAAGGGTATCTAGCCAATGGGAATGCTTTGCAATGAAAACAATTCATCATAAAAAAGGAGTACTTTGTCAACCTTTGTCTTGTTATGGACAACTTTGCAAGTGAACCTATGGGGCTGTTTATCTTAGTTCTAATCCCAGATTACTTTCAACACCAAATAACTGAAGGGGTCTGAGAATGACGTCATCTTTGTATACATGAGCTTGATCATTGTTTCGATGATTGCTTCTAACTGTTCTTGACATTAACTGCCCTTTGGCTCTTTAACAGCATACAATATACGGTACTCAGATATCAATCAGAATCAGAAAACAACTTTCGACAATTGCCCTCCCCTCCCCGCGATACGTCAAGAAGAAACAAACAACCAACTAACGCCTGTGGTAGTTACCTTTGTAGTTACCATAATTAAGTTGCCGGAAACAGCTTTGCCTGGCTGGATTATGTTCATTCGCTAGGTTGTTTTTAGATTTGACTTCTCGAACCGTCACGATGATAATTTAAGAACTGAGAAAAAAAATTCCTCTTAAGAGGGGAAATGATCACGTCCACCACCCCTGAGAGTCGATGTTTTGTTAATTTATTCAGTACTAGGGAAAATTTACATGTGCATTACGTTAGTTGTAAGCCATTGACGCGGGACAAAGCAGACAAAGTGGTATGAATCTCAACGACTCTACGCTGTTCACGCCAACAATTAGGGCGTCCGACGAGAATCCGTTCGAATTTGAGCGAGAAAGTGGTATGAGAGAACCACGTACCAGGGGAATGAGTGGTTACGATGTAAGTCCCGTAACCAAAACAATATGATGATTTCTTATTCATTTTAATGCTGTGGTTTTTGTACGGTCTACGTAAACTTTAGGTTGCTACAGAATGATTGTTTATAATTATCATATCAGCTATATTTTAACAATATCAAATGACGCATAGATTTCTTCTGTTTTCATTTTCAGACGGACAGCTCTGCAGAAAGCGACTGCAGTGAGATCGAAGACTCGTTAGCGACTGGTTTTGTTCCTGTACATCGGGGTATGAAATAAAAGCCTCAACGCCTTTTTGTTCAGTAATTTGTGCTTGTATTCGAGCACCTGAAGGGCCAATTTCCACATTTAGAGTTTCTATCGGGTAATATTACCGATATCAAAGCGTTCAGTCAGGGGTGGGAGGTCGCAGCTCAAGGTTTCACCGGAAATGTCGTAATGACATGGGAAAACGTAAAATTTGTGTAATACAGCGGGCGCGGATATCTTCGATTGCCGGTATAACGGTGACCGTTTATCGACTACTGGCCACTACCAAACCGAAAGCTTTACCTTCTGAAACCGAAAGCTTTCGCACTAGTGCCCTTGGCATAAAATCAACATTGACTTACTTTTAAAATATGCAAAGTTCTGCCTTTGTCAATCTCTTCTGGCTTGGAAATTGACGTCAATTTTCTGCTGAGTCGTGTTGCCATAGTCCGCCATATTGAAGTAGTTTGAATTGCGAACCGACGGGTCAGGTCTTGGTCTTCCAAGTCAGTTGGTGGATTGTACCTAGAAATGAGTGCACGAAAAAACGAGGAGAAAGGTGCTCAATTTTTTTCTTCTTTTACTCTATTTTGGTCTTTTGCGATCCTCTGGGAATACGTTCATGTCTGGGGAGAGATCGCTCAATTCACCTCCACTCATCTCAGGATCACAAATCCCCCCTAGACTGAATATCGTAGGTAACGATGCACATCCATACAAAATTTTGCCCTTGCTCTTTACTTTTCCAGATCGATTATGATAATTTTTATAAAAATCTGTTTAATATTTAGCTTGAAAGGTAAGAAATAATTTGTTTGTTTTGTCAAAAGTATTGGTGAGCTCGAGTCAGGTTAGATACACCCCCAAATATGAACTTTTTGGCGAGCAGTGATCTATCTTTGTTAGGTGGGTTCGTTTTATTCTAACTTATTTTTCCCTTCCTTAAAGGGTATTAATTTTACGTTCCATTTTCCATAGGCGACTCATTTTAAAACGTCGACTCCTCTCAAATATATCGGTAATTAACAGGAAAGTTAGCCACGCTCTTCAGCTCGGTAACGACTCAGTTCTCGCGAATATATGATTTGATTATGTATGTATTAAGATTTTTGTTTCTTTGCTGAAATGAATAAACATGATTATTGCTTTTAGGGAAGAATCAGTGCTTCAGGAAAGTGAAATAAAAACATCCTTTAAAATTTTCGTTTTGAATTTGCATAGAACCTTAAGTTTGCAACCTTTTATTTCTTTTGCGCTGAACAACTATAGACTGTTTTCCTTTGTGTTATGCTGTAGGGGTTCCACTGAAAGAAGTATAGCTGTTTTTATGACTCAAGTAGCAAAATATTGCCGTCTGTGATCTCGTCAAAGAGGAAATGAATTATTTGTGAGATGCAAAGGGTTGGATAGTCCCAGAACTTTTTGCGGTTAGCCAACGGAACTGGTTCTCATTTGCCGTTGTTAGGAACAGAGCAAATTCGGTTATGCGCTTTCTACCGGCGTTCTCCTAAGTTTTGTCCGAAAAATGTCGACTAATAACGCCAATGATTTCAAAGGGGGTGTTGGAGAAGGAAAGAAAATCAAAAACACTCCAAAAAGGAAAAAGTTCCGTTCCTTTTCGCTTGGTAAGTGACTGAAAACAACATTGAGCATTGTGTATTAACTGAGTTTTAATATTGAAAGCGAGATTTTCTACACGACCTTTCTTAGTTGTTTGAATCAGTGTGATATAGTGTGAAAAGGCTTATTGATTTCCTTGTATGCTCTGGTTTCAGTCAAAAGTTCTTTGTGACAGCAACTGATAACTATGTCACTTATATGCTATAGGTTTTAGGAATCTAGACATCTTTTCGGAAATTAACACTCTAAATTATTCGGTGGTGCTGTTCTCCTTTAAAGAGCGATAAAATTTACACTAGATCACAAATGCATTGATTTAGTGTCAGCGTCACTTCCCGATAACATTTTTCCATTTGGTTTATCTGGAGCTAGAATGCGTCAACTCCTTACGTATGATTATAGCATTAGTTTATTTCACTTTGTATGTAAACTTGGGTACCTCGTTTTGAGGTTTAAGTCTAGTGCTTGTTGCAAGTGTTATAAGGTTAGAACTTTATCTACTGCTAAGAGCTATTTGAAGAGGATAATAGATATTCATAGAAATATATTTGGCTATCATGTATCTTTAATAACTCAAAAACAGTTTGTTTCTGAGTCTAAATAACCACAACGTTTTATTGTTATGATAATGTGCTGCACAATCACCATGGCCTTGAATGTGTTTGATGCATCCAAACTTTGGCACCACAAATACTGCCTGCTCTGTGAAAATACTTCCTCATGAATCCATATAAATTACTCTTAAAGTTATGAGTTAGTGCAAACTTCTCAATTTGATTCCCAGCTTGTCAAGATTTTGACAACTGAATGAGTAGCAACCTGTGGTTATTTTGAATACTTAAATGGGGGTGGCAAGATTTGCATGAAAAGCTATGCATTGCTTTGTCATCATTCAAGTAGCTTTTATATTGATTTGTCTGTAGATAGGTTGTTGTACAATTCCCTTTTCCTGGGCCTGAGTTGAATCAATGTGATATTCATGTGAGAAGTTGCTTTGAATTGTGGAATCCTGTGTGATTGAACAATGTCTCAACCATTACATTATTGGTGTTGTTATTTTGTGGAATCTGTGTTAGTCATTCCCAGCTTTCAAAGTGATGTCATGCCTTGTTAGATGTGATTTTTTTTGATATTTATACTGCATTAATAGAATCAAAAAACATTTCCCCTTTTGTATGCTGAATATGACTAAAGATATGAATCTTTTTTTCTCAAGAGCATGGCCTGTCCTGTCGCTAGTAACCCTAAGTAAGTAGAGAACGAAGGAAGGGTAAGGGATTGGGAAAACTGACAGGAAAGTTCAATTGTATATCAGTCTGTTGTTACACATGTCAAAGTTACATAATCTTTCAACTTTTCTTTTACAAAGGAGTTATTAATTAAGTAGTTTCCAAGAAGAATGCAAATTGTTTTTGTCACACCTTGTCCATCGCTCTTGTGAAATTTTGCCATATGTTTTGCATAAAACTTTAATATTTTTTTATACGTTAATTATTATTATTATTATTATTGATATCTCTCCTTCAAATTGTTTGAGACTGCATGATGGTTAAAAATAAGAAATTCATGCAGTAACAGATCAATTAAAGTGATTTGTGTGTTTCATACTTAATTTTTGGAAAAATGCCATGGCTCAAAATAATGTTATTAATTTTTTCTTGTTGCTTCAGCTGACACTGCACTTCTTCTGGGAAGTTTATCACGAGGTAAATCTAACATTGAAAATGGTGAAGAAGACCATAGCACACAGTCAAGTCCACTGGGTATGTTACAGGCTTATATAATACTTAAAGTGTACCTATAATCCCATAAAATTCTAGTTTTCTGTGCTCTTTTTGGAAAATTTTTGGATTTGGTTTAATCTGTTACTTTCTGTGATTTTTTTGAAATCCTTAAGCTTTGTGTATTCATCCAAGCAATGAGAGATCTGGGGCAAGCTGTAGCCATTAGGTCAATTTAAGAACATTGTAATCCACACCTTCTCCTTCACTTGGAAATTTATTTGTTTCTGAATGGGAGCCAGTATGCACTGTTTCTTTTGCTGTTAATGAACTCATTCATGGTTTTGTTTGAGGATCAAACTGTTCAGTAGGTAACTTCCTAGCTATCCCGCAGATAGCAAAGTGCAGGGGATAGCAGCTGTCCATAAATTGTGAGGGAGTTACATTTATCTGTTCCTCAAACAACCAAACCCATTTATATGTGTTCTATTTTGCAAATTGCTTGTTGTAAAGTCCCCTCTTGTTGGCCAAAATGTAAGGAAAGAAAGCACTCTGATTGATCAATTTGGGTAAAATTTATCCTTAGCTTTTAAATGTGTTTAGTGCATATTGTTTTTTGGTAAAGGCACAATGTTTTATAAATATGGGTTCCGGGTTGTTTTGTGTTTTTTCTGTTAGTGTAGAAGGGTTTCAAATATTTTTTTCAGGCTTTTCTTTCACAACCACAATTTCTCACAAGCTCACAATTATCCCCAAAATATTGGCAAAGGAGTCTCAATGTCTGCCATGATTACATCAATTTATTATGAACAAGGAATTGAAGAAATTTGAACAAGTTCCCATACCTCTGTCAGAAAGAGCTCATTAGTTCTTATGCATGATCGTGCCATTTGCTAAAATTTCTCCCCAAACCTTGTTCACCTTACATTGTCTTGAATTCTCTCTGAATTATCTTTGTTTCATGACTGTATTTTGGCCATACTCTCTGCAAAATGTACCAGTTTACACCCTAAAAGGAAAAGTTTATGGTAAAAGTGGTGATTCTGGTATTAACTTTTATCAAGGTTATTTTTATCACAGTGATAACCAGTGATAACCAGTGATAACAAACTCCTTGGTAGAAAGGGGAACACACTAAGAAACCCAAATATCTGGCTTAGCCCAAGGGCCGTTAAAAGTGTCTTAGTTGTTGTTTCAATTTATTAGATAAACACAGTAAATCATTCTGTTTAAATACATTTTAATATACTGTAACTACAATTGTTTTTTTTTTTTTTTTGCTTTGTTGTCAAATTTTGTTTTACTGTCTTGGTATTTGATGTTTGTGCCTTGTGTAATGTGATTAAAAAAGGATTTTATTTTTGGCCGAAATTCTGAAATGAACTCTGTGATATATAAATCTCAACAAATTTGCATTGTTTTATGAAAATTTTGTGGGTTGTGTCATGATATCACTTGTGTACCAATATATTTCAAGGGTTGAATGAACAAAAGGTAAAATTCTTGTTAAATTAACATAAATGCAGTTCATTTCAATAGAAAATTTATAAACCTTTCCACTTTAGTTGTACTTCCTCTCAAATTATGATAAGGTAATTGCAGAATCGTACTTCATACATATTGCAAAAGAAAAATAGACTTAAACATGTCTGATAAAACTATTTCACCTTTAAAGTCATGCACACGGTCATTAGGTTTTCCTTCTAGATTTGAGTTTCTGTACATCTTTTTCTAGATGACAGTGTATTTGACATTATTTGAATAGACATTATCCATTAAAATTGTTTTGATCAGAACAGGATGTCTGAAATTATGTCATCCAATTTTGTTCCTTTAGTCTTAAATTGGCTGGCTGTAGCTTTCTTTGCTTTCTTTTTGCCATTTGTTGTTGCATTATTCATTGTAAAAAGGAGCATATGGGCGCACTGACATGCATGAAGCACAAATGAAAATGCCGCTAAAATGTTCAATTTAAAATTTGAATTAAAGGTCTAGTCTGAATGTGTAAGATTTTATTGGCTTTTGAATAATTCATATTTCAGGAAGATTTTGTTGATACCACACATTTGCCTTCTTAGGTAATTGATTGGTTATAGCTTTGTGTGGATGAAAATGTTTGGATTATGGCTTATTCAGAGATGTACTCTTAGCTCTCTTGGGAAAGGGTAATCTTGCTTGTAACAGGAAATTATTATCTTTAAGAAAAGAAAACTGTTGTTTCAAGCTCAATTTAATGTGTTTTCAACATAATTTTATTGTGGTACTTGGGGACTTCCATTTTAACTTGTTATGTTGGCAAGGAAGGATAAGGGTAAACGGAGACAAGGTACGTTCAGATTGTAGTTAATAATGTTTATTGTTGAACTGTGCATGCAAACACAGGGGGCATATAATTAGACGCGATATTTTCTAGAGTTCAGTGAAAGAGCCATCCAGTAGTCTGAATATTTTGCTGATGTAAAATTGAGTCATTGTGTTTATACACCTTCATGTCTCTATTATGATTTCTGTTAGTTTTTTTTTCTTTAAATTCATTAAACTTAAATTTATAGCTTGGAAAAATTTTGGGTAACATTATTTCCTGATTTGAAAGTAGGCTTTCTTTCGTGATTATGATATTTTGGAATGGATCTGAAAGCAAAGGAGGATAAGCCTTATTTCATGAATTCTTGTCATTTGATTTCTTAGTAGTTTGCCACAGTGATTTCTCTTTCACATTCTTGTCAATGTGACCTCGGAATTTTACAAATTCAATTTGATTAGGAATTAAATGTTTTTTGGCTGCCCCAACTTCAATAAGTCAGAGAAAGTTTATCATGAATGGTGTATATACACTTTGAATTCAGTGTTATGATAATAGCACTAATGAATTGTGGTGTAGATTATCTTTTTTGACAGCTGGTATGAGGAGGAAAAATTCCAATTGCATGAAAGACTTTAGATGAAGTGTTGCGGCTTTCTGAGCTACATGTTTTAATGGTTAAGTTATATTATTTTGCCCTGAAAAACCTAATGATGGCTTTTTAATGTCAGTGGAAATGTCTTGTATTGTATTTGTATCTGTGGAAAATTTCAATTCTTGCTTGAATAAAGAAAGTATTATAATCAATCAGCAATGAAAGATTAATCACAATCAGATTGGAAATTAAATTGTCCAGTGAACGAATATATTCTTCTTTTTACATTTTATTGCTGTAGCCAGATTAAATGGCATTAGAGGCCAAGATGGAACTTAATGGTAACTGAAATTTCATTATGTTGTAAAAAGGGTTTGAAAAAAGTCTGGTACAGTGGAGGAGCCGGGGCTGGTTGATGTATGGATCCAGTTTATTTTGGTTTTATTGAAATGTTTTGTTCAGCTTCTATTATTTTATTATCAAATTTTTTGCATTCCTCTTCTTTGTCTGAAATAAAGGACAGTGAAACCAGATTGTTATGAGTGCTATTTACCTCTCATACTTTTTAGTTGGTGGAAGACAATCAAAAACCTCCTGTGATTGTATTTTACCACAGTCAATGTTAATAAACCCCAAGCCACAATTAGTTCAAAGTAACATTTGCTCAAACAGTCAAGTTAAATAACTGTATAACTTTGATAGCAAATATAGCAAGGAGTTTGAATTATTGCTGTTTCTAAATTATTTTGATTCCTTTTTAGAAAGGATATTGTAATGTAATCATGGTATATATGTGATAATAATTTTAAGGACAAAAAGATTTTGGAGAAACTTTCTATATGCCATAATATGGAGTTTAAAAGGGTTCAAACTGAATTTGATAGATGTTGTAGTTTTAAAATTGTCTCCATGTACAATGTATACAGCTTTTTTCATGTTTTCTCTGTTTCACACTGGTAGTGTCACAGTATTATCTTGAGCAGGAAAAAATGCAAATCAAATAGTTTGAAGTTGATTTATCCATTCAATAATTCCCTACTGCAGTGATACATATTTAAACTAAAAACAGTTCAGAATTAGCTGTAAATCAACATTCTAACCTATAAGATATTTTTATGCAGATAAAGCAACCGGATTTTGTACCCTAAAGCAACATTTTAACAACATTTCTCTTCCTCTTTTTTTTTTTTTTCAGTAAAAGATGAAGGAGAAAGTAGTTTTAAATTTGATGGTCCGAGTCCAAGGAATTCAACCCCTGCTGTCAAGCTGGATAAGAAGGACAAAGATAGAGATAGGCTGGTGAATATTCCTTAAGCAGTCACACTGAGTGATATCCAAATTATGTACTGATCGAATTAAGAGTCTTGAATTGAATAGCAACTTCCTTGTAGTTATCAAACTGTACATCAAAGGTGTAGAATGTAATGTAGTTCAAAATTTCTCCTTGACTTAGAGTGGGGGTTTAATGTCAGAAAAAGACACTGAAGTCATTTCAAGTTCATGTAAACTTTGCAGAGAACATCTTTGTAGTGGATGTGTAGGAAAGACAAAAATTCGTATTTTAGCATGTCTTCTTCAGTTACTTAATCACTCTGTCAAAGTTTGTTTCAGTAACAACGTTTTTGGAGAGTTTACGCATGATCTCTTTAGAAAGTTCCTTGCAACTTATAAGTTCACTGACAGAGGCACTTACATGACCAGAAATGTTTTCTGTTTCAAATCAAGAAGAATCAGAAATTATGTTTTATTGGATCCTTCAATAATATTTGCACAGAAAGAGACAGATTTTCTATTCTCAACTCAATAATTTGTTGAATTAGAATTTTTATCAGTTTTCATATAAAAAATTAACAGACTTGTATTTGCTTTGTGCTAAAAGCTTAATTACTGAAAATTTTGATTCTGCTAGTTTGGCTTATTTTATATAGTTCTTTGTATGCTGCTGTTAATATTGAATCAATTTTGAAATTGTAGCAGAGTTTGGAAAAAAGGCTCTCTGTGCCAGACAAATCTCCATCATTTCCAAGAAAAACTTCCAAGGAAAGTTTTAAGGTAAAGTTGGCCATTTTAGGGTAATATTTCCATGAATGGTTTTGCTGGTTAAACAAGTCTTGGCCAGTTAAATATTATGTGTTTATGATTGAAGTAACATAAACTTTATGGCGAAGGCAGACCCTTAATGAATTGGATGACATTATTAGTTGTGACCCAAAGCATGAAATGTTAGATACATGTTAAAGGAAAAATCAAGGAATATGTGCTCAGAGTGCACAAATTACAGCACTTTTCAGTGGTCTTTTTGACACAGTGTATACTTGCATTATAATTATTTCTGCATATCATTTTTCATATACTTTCTCTTTCAAGGCAATGAAAGAGAGTTATAGACAAGAACAGAAACGCAGAATAAAAGAGTTGGCTAGTGCACTGAAAGACCCTTCAGTGATTATACTTTCCTCTTGGCTCAAGGTGAGGATAATTTGTAGCAGTCATTTTTCTGTAACTTTGATGTGAAATCATTTGTACAATTTTGCACATTCTTAATCAAATTTTTTGTGAAATGTAAGGTTCGTGGCACTTTGAAAGGCTGGCAGAAATTTTGGTGTGTTGTTAAACCTGGTATGCTGCTTATTTACAAAAGTTCAAAGGTATGAACTACTTTGAAATTATTTTTTAAGTAAAAATTAAGGTATTTTATTTCAGGTGCATTTGTAATTCATAAAGGTCAATATACCATGAAGAATGTTAGTGACTCAGCTTTACTTTCTGCCTACAGCATGGCCAGTGGGTAGGCACTGTTCTATTGAATGGCTGTGAGATTTTACAAAGACCGTCTAAGAAAGAAGGGTTCTGCTTTAAAATATATCATCCACTTGAGCACTATATGTGGGCTACAAGAGGACCTAAGGGAGAGCTGGCTGGCTCGATTGCTCAACCCATGCCAAAGGATCATCTTATTTTACGAGCAGACTCTGAATCTGATGGTAAGTGTTGCACATGATATCATACTCTGATGACAACTTCTGCATAGATTGTCAGCTACTCTAAGTACTTCCCTTAACCAGACTATCACACCTCAAGGGCTGGTATGACATCTTTGCATCAGTCACAGTTCTCTGCTTGAATATTGCCCAAACCTGCGTGAACATTACATTAGCTTAAGACAACTGTTACATTTTTATTTGAACAGGACGGTGCTGGTTAGATGCTTTAGAAGTTGCTCAGAATCAGGGATACAGCATTCAAAAAGACAACAAAGGAATGTACGTCTGAAAAGGAAGAATCTTTGATCTGATCCTCTTTGGTGCTTAAATTTAATAAAAAATTGTGGGTTCTGTCCTCATGTACCGGTTCACGAGAGCCGATACAAAAGACCGAACAATACACAACAGCTAATCAATGACTCCTAAACAAAGAAAGAACAATGGTAATTCCCTTGTGAACCGGTACACCAGGACAGAACCAAATTGTGACATGACCTTTTTTTATGCTGAAAGGTTAAGTGAGCTGTATGGTAAAGATGACAAGGAAGACAGAGAGGATGACAGTGGAATACCAGCTGTTCAAGGTAAGTTATTTCTCACTTGTTTGAGGGTTGTCATCTTTTCATGATGCATTAGTTTGTTTTTGGATTGATTCCTGATTGTAGAAGGGTTGTGTAGGGCACCTGTATGTACAATTTGTTTGGTAAATATGGCTTTTTTTCTTCTTTAACAGATCAAGATGATGACAGCAATGATGGAATGGTTAGAGATAATTTGTGTATTATTTATGAATCTTCTTATCTTTTCTAACTTGAGAAGAATGTTTGCCGGTTTCTTTTCCATATTTTGTTACACAAGTTTTTTTCGTGTGTGCATGTGTTTGTTCTTACAACACCCCTCATAACAATTGACAGTGTCCTTATTCTAATGCTAACAGCTAATTAAAAATGTAATTTTATAGTACCATTTTAATGTTCTTAACATTTTCCAAATTTTTTTTTACTGTGTTTTGTTCATAGGAAAAATCTGACTCAGATAATGAATTAGATGACACCATAGGACCTCTTGGAAGAGGTAGGTACATGTATTTCTTGTCCAAACAAATAGTAAATTTAACTCTATATATCCACAAAGATTTCATTGATTGTCTGAGCATTCTTGTCACTGCCTCATAAAACTTCTTCTCAAAGTTTCAGTGCATTATCCAGCAAGCAGTCAGATTTTCCATTATTAGATGACCTTCCTTAATTAATCTCAGTGTTGTTCTTATAGTTGCCTTGTTGAAATCTAAAGCTTTTTGTAATCACAGATGGCGGAGAAGAGATAGAAGAAGGTCCTGTTGAAGAAACAGTTTATGTTGAAGAGAAAGGGGAGGAATATCTTGGACAGGTGAGAATGTCTGGGCTATTATCAGTAATAGTTCTTCATTAAGAGCTATTTTGGCTTTTTACCACATTATGCAATCAGCTTAATTGCATTACATTCACAGAATAAATATTTCCATACTATATTAAGAAATGTTAAAATGCATGGCTTAACCATGTGGCTGTTTGAGTTGCTTGCCATGGTTTCAAGTGCAGATTATACACTGTACCATGAAATCAGAAAAAACCCTTTTGCCTTTTTCATGGAGTTTAATGGTACTTGTAGATCATATACTGACTGGAAATTGTAATTTTTTGGACAGACCAAAAGTGTAGTCAAAGTGTGCCTGCAGGCAGGGAAAGAAATAATTTGTAGAGTTTAGCATTACTTAGTTTAAGTATTGTTTTTGTTAGGCTGGTGAGGCACTAGAGGAGATTGAAGATGAAAACAAAAGTATTCTGTGGGCTCTTTTGAAACAGGTCAGTGTAAAGTTAAATGACCTTTGGAGACAAGAGGGAACATAGTAAATCCCATGAGGATGAGACTTCTCATTGTCTGCATGATGAATAGAGGAGAAGATTTGCAGCTAACTAGTTCAAAATTGTTTTGGTTGGATGCTATGATAACTAAGCTTTAGCCACAGAACTTTGTTGTAAGCTTGATTGGCAGTTACCAAAATAATGTCAACACCAACCATATAAACTTCCTTGTGTATTTTTCAACAGGTAAAGCCAGGCATGGATCTTTCAAGGGTGACTTTACCAACCTTTATTCTGGAACCAAGATCATTTTTAGACAAGCTTTCAGACTTCTATTTCCATAGTGACATTTTGTCAAGGTAAATTTACAAACCTATTTATTTGAACAAGTTTTACTCCTGTTTCACATGCCCAGCATTCTATATCAAGTTTAATGGTTTTATAACTTATTAAGTGATTTTTATTGTATCCAGGTGAGAAGAAAAGTTAACAATAAGGTTGTATGACAGACCCTTATAACAGTGCTCCCCTCAACAAAGATGGTAATAAATGGAAATATTGTTTTATATTATATTACATAGAGCTGCAAGAGAGGAGGATGCCTACAGCAGAATGAAGGAGGTAGTCAGGTGGTATTTGTCAGGATTTTACAAGAAACCCAAGGTTGGTGAAAGAAATTAATTATTACTGTATTGTACATTGTTGCTGTGCCCTCTAAAGGCAAGTTGTATCAAAAAGTGTACCTCAGGTCCCATTAGGTAGTATTGTATTTCACTTATGGTTAAAAGCTTGAATATCCAAATGGTATGGTATGGTACCAGAGTGCATATCACTGATAATCAGTTATATGTCAGTTATTTGAATAACAATATTTCGGATGTTTTTCTGTAGGGTTTGAAGAAACCTTACAATCCTATCCTTGGTGAGACATTTCGCTGTTACTGGGGTAATCCTAATGGTACAAAGACATACTTTGTAGCAGAACAAGTTTCTCACCATCCTCCAGTGTCAGCATTCTATGTGTCTAATAGAAAAGAGGGATATGTAGTCAACTGCTCCTGCCTGGCCAAGTCCAAGTTTTATGGTAACTGCTGGTTTTATTGTAATATTTTATTTCATAGCCTTTTTTTTTTTCAGGTGGATTTGGTTAAGTACACTTGTCTAGCTATAAAATTATTAAAAACTAGATCATTGGATAATGCAATTCAAGACTTTTTATTGGCTTAGCAATTATGGTATATAAGCCAATACACCATAAGCCACAAATATGGTAAGCGTACGTGTCAGGTTAAAATTAAAAGGGAGCTAAAAATTTAGTAAAATTTAATAATTTAATATAACGTTTTTAATAAAACAATTATTCCACTCGCGCTTGTTGGATATGAGATGATTATAGCCAACTCAGCGCTACGCACCTCGTTGGCTATCTATCATCTCATATCCAATGCGCGCTCATGGAATAATTGTTAAATATATCTGACTGAAGTGTGAACATCTTCATGTGAGAATGCAAGCTTGGTTGTTTACCAGGATCTTGTAAGATCTCCTTCACTTGTTGTATGCTTCCAAATTTAACCATTAGAAAGAAAGAAAATTGCTGTGTAAGGCAGACTAAATATGTAGAGAAGCTAAAATTTTCTATAAAAATGTTTGTCCCATCCAATTCAATAAACCCTTCTCAATTACTAATTTTTAAGACATAGTGTGTATTTTCTACTGTAGGGAATTCATCCTCTGCCATTTTGGATGGGACTGCTACTTTGACTTTGCTGAGGTTTGGAGAGGAATATGTCATGAGTATACCATATGCTCATTGTAAAGGTCTGTTTTGTTTAATAGTGTATTGTGAGGTAACCTACTGTGGGGATGTCTTAGGCATCTAAATAATTTTTCAGTTGAGATGTAAAAGTCTGACTTTAAGGAGATCCACTACCCACTGAATAACATTTTTGAAAGTTGAAGAGAATAGCATTCCAATAACTAAATCACAAAATCACCTTGTAAAGTAGTTTCAACTTAAACAGACATTTTGGTTTTTACTTATAGCCTGCAGTGCAGGCAGTTTTGGTGGTTTTCATATTTCGAGTTTTTAGCTGCCATGTTGGATTCGCTGCAGACTGGGAGAATTGGGGCAAGAATGTGAGAATGTCGGAGTGGTGGGGGGGGGACAGGGAAGGAAAACGGATTTTTCTTTTCTCTTCCCCTCCCCCTTCCCCAATTTTTTTCTCTCCCTCCCACTAGTTAAACTTTTTACCTTGCCCCAACTCTCCACTGTTTTTCTAATTCAAGATGGCGACCTGAACAACCGATGGGAATAGCCACTCGCCCCACCAGAATCTGCCTGCACTGCAGGCTAGTTTTTACCATTTTCTGATACTTACCTTACTTACAAAACTATGTTGATCCACATAAAAACAAATTTTATCCTGAACATTAACTGAACTTGATTACTGAGGTGATAGGGACTAGAACTCTATCCCTGAATAGACAAGATTAAAGGGCATACCAAGCATTTACACTATAAATATTAAGCTAACAGCTCTTTTTGACTGTCTGTTCTTTTTTTTTGTTTGTTTGTTTCAAGTACCAGCATCATTCTCTTGATTATCAGGTATTTTAATTGGCACGCTAACAATGGAGTTAGGAGGAGTTGTTACCATAAACTGCGAGAAGACTGGGTACAAGGCTGAAATTGAATTCAAACTTAAGGTGAGAACGGGGGTTTCTTTTAGTGGAGCTCTAATTTTAAAGAGGTTTGGGTCAAAGCCTCTAAAGACTTTGTGCTGTGTTCTTAGGCAGGACACTTTGCTCTATCTGCACATCGCCCAGGAGTGTAAATTCAGATGAGTGAACTATCAGGGAAACTTTGGGGGGAAAATGTGATGCATTGGGATACCATTTATGGGAAGTAGCAATACTGCAGCTCCTGTCAGATGGGATACCAGACTTAGCAGCTGACTTAACCCTCAAATAAATTCATATCTTTTTCATTATTGTAGCCATTCTGGAAGAAAAGTGGGGAATCAAATTATATTGCTGGTAAGATTAAAATGGGAAAGGAAACACTGTGCAGAATAGAAGGAAAGTGGGTGAGTATTGCTTTAAAATATTCCTTTTGTCTGTGTTTATGCCAGAAGTCTTCCAATAAATGGAAAATTATTTCTTCTTTTGTTTTTCCTTTTAGGATGGTGAGATTCTTATCACAGACCTTAAATCTCCAATTCCTGCAGGGGTGAGTACAGAAAGACATTCTTTTAAGTTATGTACTAGTCAGAGATTCAGATTCAAACAGTGGGCCCTTCACAGCCTTGTGATGTCAAGTATTGTTCTATCCTTCAAGCTACAATTGTTAATGAAGATCATTGGAGAGCTACTGGGTAATTACTAAACTTGGTTCAAGGGGGGCAGGGCAACTCTTGACAAGCATATGGCTCTGTTGCACTCCTCCCTCCCCTCCCCAGTGTGGAACATATCTAGCAAACATGGTCTGCAAAAGAAAAAAAGACTGTCCACTTGACCCTAAAAATAATTTTGATTACTTAGGAAGTCATTGGGGTGAATTTTGTGTTTATTCTTCAGGAGGTAGAACCTCTTCCTGAGCTGTTTTGGGACCCAACTCCTGAAATCCGAGAGCAGAGACTTCCCAGACATTTGGTGGAGTACAATGCCCAAGGAGAATTTGAATCAGAGAAGTAAGTGATGTTTTGCTTAAATATAAGATATAAGTCTTACTTTCACATATTTGTAATGTGACTCTTGGGAATACAACAAAATGACCATAAAGCCTTTGTAAACCTGAGGACTGCTTAAATTTTTACTTACAATATGATTGTAAAGTCTCCCCACTTGGCTATTATACATTCATGTCCTGTAACTTATTTGTCAAACCCTGAGGTTGATAATTTGATGTTTTGGTAGGAGGTGACCCATTCAAAGTCATTCTGCTGGTCTTCTGTCATTGTCTAACTGCTCTCTTAAAACTGCTATTCCCATACAGGCTCTGGATAAATGTTAGCGATGCTATTAAAGTGAATGATCAGGTAAGAGAGCTGGTCTTGTTTACAACAATTTTCACTTGACAAGCAGCGTTGCAGTGCTTTTGCACCACCACACTTTCTGATAAGTCTTGAAATATCTTACTGCCTTGTAAACCAATCACCCAATCAAATACAAAACTTAACACCAATACTAACAACCTTTTTTTAAAAAAAATGTCAGGAAAAAGCAACAAATGAGAAGTTCATTCTTGAGGAGGCACAGCGGAAAGGTCACCGTGAGAGAAGAGAAAATGGAGTGGAATGGATTCCTAAACTGTTTGAGCGAGATCCAGCTGCTCCAAATGCTATCAACCGATGGCTATACAAGTACAGAGAGTAAGCAATTGATTAACAGTCTATCATCTTTTTTTGGATACTGTTGGCAATCTCTAGAGACAAGAGAGCACGAGGCTTGTTTATTTTGTAACAATCATATAAATATATTTTTTGTAGTATAAGACCGTGGGATCCAATGACAGACCTGAAAGAATACGAAAATGATGGAATTGTCAAAACACAGTACTGCCTCAAAGCACCCATGGTACGAACAACCAGCTTACTCAGCATCCAACCAGAAAATAAGAAGCCAATTTCAAAACGAAAGGGGCCTTCATCTGGTCGATCAAGAGGTAACAGCCAAGCAAAGGGTTCACGACGTAGTTCCATTGACCACTCAGGAGCATCAACACCTGATCCTGAAGCTGAACATTCCAGCAGCATTGAGGAAGATGATGATGATTCAAGTGTTAAGGAAGGCATTGACCTTGCAGCTCTAGAGAAAGCTTTCCAACCTCTCAAAGATCTACAGAAGGAGTGTGTTCAACAAATGAGAGCAATTAGAAGTGATTTGCGTCGCCATTACTCCTCTCATCAGGATGATCTTGCTACTCTTCAGTTCAAAGACTGGCTCTTACTGTTGATGTTCATTATAGCTCAAGGATTTTTCCATTGGTATTATAGTAGATGATCATGGATGGCTGCTCAAAGGCTCAAATTATTCAATTGAAATGGAAAAAGGTTTTGGAAGGGATGGATTGTCTTTGTTGTGCACAGTTCCAAATAGTTTGAATTTCATTGACATTGGGAAAAAGCTCAAAAGCAAGAGTGGTCATCTTTACACCTGATGTTATATTTCTGTTTGAAGTAGAGATGGAAAGTCTTTTTTACACCTGATGTTATATTTCTGTTTGAAGTAGAGATGGAAAGTCTTTTTTACACCTGATGTTATACTTCTGTTTGAAGTAGAGATGGAAAGTCTTTTTTTTTGTGTGGTCAGAGAAGATAGATATAAAGCTAACTTATGTTTGCTCAATAATGTGCAAGAGCCCATTTCTGCTCATTTTGGTTTTTTCAACCCTAACCCTAACTGTAACCCTAACCTTTTGTTACATCTCGTGATAGCTATTGGTAAAAATGTTAAGAAATTGTTTTGTGATTGTAAGAATACTCCAATAGATTGTACTTGATGATAAAGGTACAATCAAATCAAACAAATGCAATTAGAAGAGATATATGATTATATATTTAAAATTGTATTAAAAATCCATTAGCCTGAAATCAAGCTGAATAAGGATTGAAAAAAGTTTCTTTTAGTTGGGGACATGAAAGAGATTTCAGTGATTGCCCTTCAATAAAAGAAAATTTGTACAAAAAAGGAATAATGACGAAGATATTTTACCCCCATATTTATAAAACTCAGAACAAAGATATCAAATAGAAGTAGTTATTTATGATCTTTACTAATTAGTAAATAAGATTAACGATAAAATTTCGACTCATTATGACAAAGTGGGCTTCTTGAAGTTAAAATTTTTATCAGGGATCTAAGGTTCACCTGCATAGCACAAGATTTAAGCTCAGTTTGGGTTGTAACATAATTTCATAGCACAAGATCTAAGCTCAGTTTGGTTTGTAACATATTTAATTTCATAGCACAAGATCTAAGCTAAGTTTGGTTTGTAACATATTTAATTTCTGTCTCCTTGTTATCAAACCTGGTCACTTTTTAGCAACCGAAGAACTTTAAGACTCATTGAGGGGTAGCAGTTAAAGGGGAACTGAAGCCTAAAGTTGGTATATTGTTTGCATTCATTTCTAGTTAGCTTTAGAGGAGTAAAATAAAGTGTCGATATTCATTTTCGTTCACTTCTTGTTTTTTATGAGAAAATTCTATTTGAAGTTGCCTTTTTCCTGCTTTATGGGGCTGTAAGACCGTTGGCCCAAAATAGGTCAGCAGTGGTCGTTTATGACGTCAGTGGTGGGGAACCAACTTAAGGAAAACAACTGTTACTATTTCATTTTCGTAGTTAATCCCCATTACAAGTCACACAACTTCGATAACTCCATAACCAAACCAAATTTCTGTAGGAAGAGTACGGGTTTATTATCTTTCTTCCCCCACAGTGACGTAAGAGCGAGCTAATATGACCGCTGACATTGCTTTTCTGAGCCGCCGTACTACGAGGCCAAAATGCCACTTTAAACTATTTTTTCGAGGCAAAGTTGGGCCCAGACTGAAAAAAAACCCTCGAACATTGCTATTTGAACAATAAGCTGCAGTTTAAAAATGGTTCATTTTTAGGCTTCAGTTCCCCTCTAATTTTCAGTGTTTTTACAGATAGGGGAATAATCAACATTTGTTAACTGATATTAATTATTGCTTTTCTAGTCAGCATGTTTTATTTGCTCTGGTACATTTTGATCTGAGCACAAGAGAACTGGCAGGAATTCAATTAAATTACAGAGTGTGGTATTAAAATGTTTGTGTTAAGATTTTAATCAATGGTCACGACTAAATATTAAACTGAAAGTTTTGATACTCTTTGTGAGTTATTCTCCCTTTTTTTTTTTACTGCTGGAGAGGGGTTTTCTTGCATAACGCAAGCACTGAGCTGAATTGAAATCATGTAAAAAATGGTGGACAATTGAAATTTTTTTTCCAGCTGACGAAGTATTGAAATAGATAGCGAATATTGATTCAAGTTTTTTAGATAAATCGAAGGAAGAAAAGCAGTTAGACAACAATGAATTTATTTATTGAAGAAAATAGAAACAGCAACACAAAGAATTCTCTTCTGCTTTGTATTCTTCAGTCATGCACTCCCCATAAATAAAAATCTGTGAAATTTTCCCGCACTTAAATAACACTTTGGATTGGTAGTAAAAAATGTCGCGAAAAGGATGAGTTACTGTTTTTGCAACCCTTGAGGCACAATGGAGCAGTTGGTTTCATTTTTCATCCTGTCTTAATTATTTTAAAGTTGTTTAATTGTCAAAATGATTATCATATACAACACCACAACTTCTACAAGAATCACTTGATCTATGGAATTCTATCTATACTGATGTCTTATTACAGTCATTCATAATGTGTGTTTAAAATAAGAAACTCCTGAAAATTTTAATTATTACAGTCAAGAAGACTGACATCAGTATTAATAAAAAGCCTCGTTCATGTGTACCTTAGAAAACAAATATTTTCACTTGCAAATAAGTAAAAAGATAAATAGTAATGACAATACAAAATGAAAATACCTAATAAAAGGGATTGCAATTTCTACTTTGTCCAATGCACAAAAATTAAATCACACAAGCCAACACTTGAAATTTGTTCGGCATGTGAATATGCAATGTATGTTGCAAAAAAAGAGAGAATTCACTTAAAGGAAAACATTTTATTAACTGCCTGCCAAACAAGATGAATGGTTTGATTCATTCCATTAGAAAGATTTTTTCACCTTGACTAAAGAACTGCATGCACTCCATCCTTTTCGTTAGATTTTTGTGGTGAAAGAATTGGTTCTGAGCATTTTTTCCAGCCCCTTGCCTTCCACAGTCATATCTCTTATTAAAAATTTAAATGGTCACTCCCTTAAAAACCATATGAAATGCCTGCCTTTCTAAGCATCTCAATGGTTCTTGGTCAGCTGTTAATGTTACAGAGATGTGCATTACTGAGAGCTAAACCGCAAAAGTACTCACTTCAATAAGACAACTAATGCTAAATTGTCAATTGCAATAGAAAATAGAAAATTTAACAAAGAAATGTTCTAATTACTTTCCCATTGAAAGAGCTTTTCAAAGTCACAGCAAATCAGGTGCACCTTTATGGAAAATGCCGGTGAAGATCAATCACAGTTAATGCCTAAGCGTCATAGCCGGAAAACCACTTTAATTTATGGCCTTATGAGCGTCCAACATGGAGAAATTTCTATGCGATCCCACATTTCGCGCAAATGACACGACCTCTGGACAAAGCAATACTTTACACAAAACGTACTGTGCATTTGAGATATTTGATGCAATTTGCGCTTGTCTAGTCAAGCACAGAATAGAGCTGGTCGCTATGTAAGAAAAAGCCTTGTTAAACCAAAGCAGTAAACTTCTATCGACCTTAAATCTAAGCCACAAATCAAAAGAACCACTTGAAATGCGGATCCGCATCACACTGTGTTAGCTGTGTACTCCACTGCGGCAGACCTGTCGTACCGTGGTTTTCGGAATCGTAAGACTGGGATAAGCCCGAGAAAAATATAAACCACACCAGCAATAAAGAAAGCATATCCAAGAGAAATTAATCGCGTTCGCCCGGAAAATGCATAGTGAAATATCAATGATAGAGTTGTACCCAAGAACAGCAACACTAGGCCAGCGAACATAACTTGGAACCCACGGCGGCGCCAAAACGAGGAAAATTCTCGCCCAGTATTCACATCTGTGCCATCTATGAAAAGGCGAAAACCTCCAAAGTAGTTTGTCCACGACAAAGAATTGTAAATGAGAATGAACGAATGACCATCTTGCTCCCACTCGTATTGTCCGCTTCCAAAGCAAAGAGGGCTACAAGGATTGTAAGTCAATCCATGGTGCTCTAGTTCATGTCCATTGACGTAAATACGGTACCCTTCACAAATGCAACCAATTTCACGAACCAACTGTACTGTCTACTGTCGATATTCAGGACCAACCTTCAGGTTCTGGGCCCAAGTGTAAGTGGTTTTACAACAAGGCATATCTGGCGTTCGTCGACAACAACAGTGGAATGTGTGCTCAACCTTCGCTCGGAACTTTCCAATAAATTTTGGATTAAAAGGTCTTTAAAGACTCTCTGCTCAGTCACTGTACTTTTATCGGTGGGTTTCCGCTAAACCAATGGAAATTTAAGTTGTAATTGCGAAAAATTAGCCGCAACCCAAGAAAGTAATGGAGATCGATCACCTCAAACATCTGTCACGAGAATTGAAGCGTGACACACGCCTTCGCTAAGCGCTATTTATGGCGTGACAATTTGTTTGGGGTCTTCCAGTTGATTGGCCAAATAAAAGCTACTTTGTAAACATTTGACTGCAAAAAGAGGACGTTGCGATGAGGTATAATTATCCTATAGAATTAACTTGCTTGAATTTTCTCTTGTAAAAACTTGTGTGAGTGTTTCTAAAGCATGCCTACTTTTAATTTTTATAACTGAATGATCGATTCATATTCCATGTATAAATTTTGCATGATTTTATTGAAAAAGTTAATCATAAAATAAGAATCAAGGAAAACACTCATTTTAAAAAACATTTTAGTATGGTTTCCGCACGTTCCCCTATTTCATTATGCAGATAGTTCATGGATAAAGAAACAATCTTCGATAATCCTTCCATATTTTTTCTTTTATTTCAGCGGTTGTTGATTTAATTTTGAACTCTAAAATTAATTAATAAAATTGAGCAACGAATCGTTGAGAAACATGAAAGTTTTGGTTTGGTTGCTATTAATTACGAGAAGCACATTACAAATAATTCAAGGTATGAAGTTTGAAAATGATATTCCGACAGGAACACTTTATGTGAGCGGGCAAAACAATGTACACCTGCAAATGTTAGTGTTATGGAAATAATGGTTACCTTGAATACAGCAGTGTGAAGCTAAATAATGTATTAGGTGCGGTTTAAGTGTGACAAAAAGCAATATTCTGACGACACTGTTCAGGGTGACCTCTCATAGGCTGAAAAAAAGAATTTATTGCGTATTGTGTAAAGCAGGTGATAAAGTGGTGTAAAGATTTGCCGATAAAAGAAGCAGTCAGTGTTAGTTTTCTAAAAGCAGTGGACACAATAAACGAATACTTCTTAAAATGATTCTAAAGGAACGCGTGAACAATTGTTTTCGAGTGCTTTTGAATTTGAAAAAGGATTTGTTTTCTTTTCGTTCTACACGTACTTCACTCCAGTATTGGTTACATAATATTTCAATCAGTTTGATTTTCAGACAATTGCAACATAAAGTCTCTATTGCCTGTCCTTTACTTTGTTGTCATGCTCGTAAAGTTACGGTAGCAGTCAAGAAATAATCGCCCATATTTTCTTTTAAAGTTTCGTGGAATTTCTGTTATTATTCCGTTCGCACTGAATCTCGCTCCCAAATGATACAGTCGTGTTGTAAACAAAACTCAAAATGAAAACAGAGATCATATTTTAATACATCTTCGATTCAACATTTTACAACGAATAACGACGCAATCGCTTGGAGTTTGATCAGGTTCATGATTTGTTGAGCTGGATATTTTTTACTCCACCTTTTTCTGGATGAAAATGTGGTAAATTAGTAATATGTGGTTTGAAGTTTCCCTAGACTGTGTAAACCGGTCCATAACGATTAGAATGTCTCACCACATGTGAGGTTAAACCCTCCACAATCTTTAACAAGCCAAATATTAATAACACGCGGCCAAGCAGCTCCCATAAAACAACATATGGCGAAGGCACAGTGTCTTCAAAGTATCGTAACGATTCCAATGAAACTCCTATCAACACCTCGATGAGACCAAAATAAAGAAGAATCCATCGTCGTTTTCTCCACAGTTCTGATGGAGTGAGATCCCTGTCTATCTGAAAACCGTCGATCAGCAAATGATACTCTGTCATCGACCATGTTCCAGGTACAATCATCAACAGAAAAGAACGACCATCAAACTTCCAAGCATATTGTTCGCTCCTACTGCACACAGCTAAGCCATTAAGACGCTTATATGTTGCGCGATTAATCTGCAGTCCGTTTGTGAATATACGAAATTCTTCGCCACAGAATCGCTTTATACGAATTAGTTCGACAGAATAGTGTTTACTTCCCGAACTGAAGTTGAAAGTCTTTTCCCAACGTTTTGAAGTTTTCCACAAACAAGTCTCCATTAGGCTCGTAGCTCGTTGATAACCCAATATTTACGCCTCAGGTCGCGGGAAATGAAACTGCTAATAATATTCATAACGTCATTGACACATGAGTACTACCAATCACATTAAACGTGCCCCAGTTAACCGTAGAATGTTATATTTTTGTTTGCAGGCAGCCAACCGTTATAAGTTTCACTGCGAAAAAATCGTTGTGGTCCAATCTTTCTTTTAATCGACGGTCTGGGGACAAAGCTCTCCAATACCTGACTATTTTGGTTTGCGGCTGCTTTGCCAGGTCACGCGAACAAAACAGCTGACGAGTATCTTCGTAAACATAGTTCGATCAAAGGACATCATTATCAAAATGATTGAAAGGAACAACTGAATCAGGCAAAAGTCGTCGATGACTGTTGTCATTATGAGTTAAACGTTGCTATTATTATAACACTTTTGTTTACTTAAGCAGTGAGCGTTCTGTCTTTACAAACGCGCCGGTAGTCCAAGCTCGTCCTTGGGGACTCCCTGAGGCAGGGTATTTTCAACAAGGAAAAAGACTGAGAAAAATGTCCTATGACAACAAAATGAACTATTGGGGAAAAAGGAATGCGTTTAATTTTGTAGAATGATGTAAATGTGACCGCAACTTCATCACACAACAATATAACCATATAGTTGTTTACATTCTGATGAAGAAAAGGTAAATAAACTTAAGACGAATAAGTCAGTTGGACCTGATGACATCTCGCCTAAACTTCTTAAATTGGCAGGAAAGGCTATTGTACCAGCATTGGTCAACTTTTATAATTACAGCATTGAACAAAGAATTGTCTTTTCCTTGTGGAAGACTGCCCGATTAACTCCGCTTTTCAAAAAAGATGATGAAACAGACTGTGGAAATTATCGACCTGTCTCTCTTTTAAGCGTACCAAGCAAGATCCTGGAAGCAGAAACAAAAGATAGACTGGTGCAGCACGTTTCTGTCGACAATCATTTAATCACAGAGAAGCAATGGGCCTACCGACGCGGCTACTCGACTGAGCTCTTCCTAGTACATCTGACAGAAATATGGAGGAGAGCGTTAGACTCTGGTAATGTTGTCGCAGTAGCCTTTGTGGAC